GTAGTGTAGTAGGTAGTGTAGTAGTGTAGTAGGTAGTGTAGTAGTGTAGTAGGTAGTGTAGTAGTGTAGTAGGTAGTGTAGTAGGTAGTGTAGAAGGTAGTGTAGTAGGTAGTGTAGTAGTGTAGTAGGTAGTGTAGTAGTGTAGTAGGTAGTGTAGTAGGTAGTGTAGAAGGTAGTGTAGTAGGTAGTGTAGTAGTGTGGTAGGTAGTGTAGTAGGTAGTGTAGTAGTGTAGTAGGTAGTGTAGTAGGTAGTGTAGTAGTGTAGTAGGTAGTGTAGTAGGTAGTGTAGTAGGTAGTGTAGTAGGTAGCGACAGGCTGCCGAGCTACCAAATCTGATGACTGGGAGGGGTTCGATTCCCGCTCACGACCACCAATCACAGCGGCCAAGAGTATCGATCGTGGGCATCCCCTAGGTGGACTCGGCCTTAACATGAGTAACCCCCAAGTCCGGTGTGTTTAACATCAGCACTGGGGAGACAAAGGCGGCCGGGCGTGATGTCGGCCACCCACCCCCGGTCGTGTGCCGTGCCGGCCTCCATAGGTGCACTTGCCCCAACAGTATGTTAAGGCTATACGGGGGATCTTTGTCTTTGTGCGAGTCACTGAGCGGGTGGCGGGGGGGGGTGTATGATGGAGAGTGCGTGGGAGTGAGTTGCCTGTGTGTGCACGTCTAAATAAAGATTCTGATTCTGTACGTGGGGTGTGGGATTGCCTCTCTCTCTGTGTATTTGTGTAGCTACAGGAGGCCGTTTGTGAATTTAAGGGAGTGTTTAGGGTGCGCGCACGTGTGTCACGAACAGTGTATAATAGGTGCTCGCTAACAGCACTTGCCCCAACAGTCTGTCCAGGCTATACGGGGGATCTTTGTGTATAAAGGTCCTCGCGAACAGAATCTTTGGTCTTGTGCGGCGACAGATTGTGCGTGCTTAGGAGTGGATACGTCGGTGTGTATGTATCTATGTAGGCGCGTGTGTGTGTATGTAGGGGCTGTGTGTATGTATGTAGGCGCGTGTGTGTGTATGTAGGCGCGTGTGTGTGTATGTAGGGGCTGTGTGTATTATGTAGGCGCGTGTGTGTGTATGTAGGGGCTGTGTGTATGTATGTAGGCGCGTGTGTGTGTATGTAGGCGCGTGTGTGTATGTAGGGGCTGTGTGTATGTATGTAGGCGCGTGTGTGTGTATGTAGGCGCGTGTGTGTGTATGTAGGGGCTGTGTGTATTATGTAGGCGCGTGTGTGTGTAGGTAGGCGCGTGTGTGTGTATGGGAAGCGGTAGTGTAGCGGTTAGCGCGCTGCGCTATGAACCTGGCGACCCGGGTTCGATTCCCGCTCACGGCTAACACCAGTGACGATTATCTGAACCGGTCCTGGGCCTCCCCTAGGTCGACTCAGCCTTAAATGAGTACCTGGTGCGGTGTGTAAACATCGCCACTAGGGAGACAAAGGCGGTCGGGCGTGGTGCTGGCCACCCACCCCCTCGTGTACCGTTCCGGCCTTCATAGGTGCTCGCTAACAGCACTTGCCCCTACAGTCTGTTCAGGCTATACGGGGGATCTTTGTCTTTTTTGTCTTTGTGTGTGTGTATGTAGGGGCTGTGTGTATGTATGTAGGCGCGTGTGTGTGTATGTAGGCGCGTGTGTGTGTATGTAGGGGCTGTGTGTATGTATGTAGGCGCGTGTGTGTGTATGTAGGGGCTGTGTGTATGTATGTAGGCGCGTGTGTGTGTATGTAGGCGCGTGTGTGTGTATGTAGGGGCTGTGTGTATTATGTAGGCGCGTGTGTGTGTATGTAGGGGCTGTGTGTATGTATGTAGGCGCGTGTGTGTGTATGTAGGCGCGTGTGTGTATGTAGGGGCTGTGTGTATGTATGTAGGCGCGTGTGTGTGTATGTAGGGGCTGTGTGTATGTATGTAGGCGCGTGTGTGTATGTAGGGGCTGTGTGTATGTATGTAGGCGCGTGTGTGTGTATGTAGGGGCTGTGTGTATGTATGTAGGCGCGTGTGTGTATGTAGGGGCTGTGTGTATGTATGTAGGCGCGTGTGTGTGTATGTAGGGGCTGTGTATATGTATGTAGGCGCGTGTGTGTATGTAGGCGCGTGTGTGTGTATGTAGGCGCGTGTGTGTGTATGTAGGGGCTGTGTGTATGTATGTAGGCGCGTGTGTGTGTATGTAGGCGCGTGTGTGTGTATGTAGGGGCTGTGTGTATTATGTAGGCGCGTGTGTGTGTATGTAGGCGCGTGTGTGTGTATGTAGGGGCTGTGTGTATTATGTAGGCGCGTGTGTGTGTATGTAGGCGCGTGTGTGTGTATGTAGGGGCTGTGTGTATGTATGTAGGCGCGTGTGTGTGTATGTAGGCGCGTGTGTGTGTATGTAGGAGCTGTGTGTATTATGTAGGCACGTGTGTGTGTATGTAGGGGCTGTGTGTATGTATGTAGGCGCGTGTGTGTGTATGTAGGCGCGTGTGTGTGTATGTAGGGGCTGTGTGTATTATGTAGGCGCGTGTGTGTGTATGTAGGCGCGTGTGTGTGTATGTAGGGGCTGTGTGTATGTATGTAGGCGCGTGTGTGTGTACGTAGGCGCGTGTGTGTGTATGTAGGGGCTGTGTGTATTATGTAGGCGCGTGTGTGTGTATGTAGGCGCGTGTGTGTGTATGTAGGCGCGTGTGTGTGTATGTAGGGGCTGTGTGTATTATGTAGGCGCGTGTGTGTGTATGTAGGGGCTGTGTGTATGTATGTAGGCGCGTGTGTGTGTATGTAGGCGCGTGTGTGTATGTAGGGGCTGTGTGTATGTATGTAGGCGCGTGTGTGTGTATGTAGGGGCTGTGTGTATGTATGTAGGCGCGTGTGTGTATGTAGGGGCTGTGTGTATGTATGTAGGCGCGTGTGTGTGTATGTAGGGGCTGTGTGTATGTATGTAGGCGCGTGTGTGTATGTAGGGGCTGTGTGTATGTATGTAGGCGCGTGTGTGTGTATGTAGGCGCGTGTGTGTATGTAGGGGCTGTGTGTATGTAGGGGCTGTGTATGTATGTAGGCGCGTGTGTGTATGTAGGGGCTGTGTGTATTTATGTAGGCGCGTGTGTGTGTATGTAGGGGCTGTGTGTATGTATGTAGGCGCGTGTGTGTATGTAGGGGCTGTGTGTATGTATGTTGGCGCGTGTGTGTATGTAGGGGCTGTGTGTATGTATGTAGGCGTGTGTGTGTATGTAGGGGCTGTGTGTATGTATGTAGGCGCGTGTGTGTATGTAGGGGCTGTGTGTATGTATGTAGGCGCGTGTGTGTATGTAGGGGCTGTGTGTATGTATGTAGGCGCGTGTGTGTGTATGTAGGGGCTGTGTGTATTATGTAGGCGCGTGTGTGTATGTAGGGGCTGTGTGTGACCCGTGGCACCTGCTGGGTCTGGCCCCCGTGACCTCCTGCCAGCGGGCGTTCGACACTTCACGTGGCCTCAACGTGCACCTAGCCTGGCACAAGCGCCGTGGTGACGTCACCGCCACTTAGTGGCGAATGGCGGTTGTTGTTGTCATTGTTGTGTATGTAGAATTTCAATTGACAACACAAGTGACCTTAATCGGGTTAGTTTAACGCGTTGTAGGCATTCGCGACCGATATTATTCATAATAAAGGGGGTTTTGGGGTTAGATCGCGTAAGTATAAATGTTTGTGTCGTAACCCTCCACCACCCGACACAGCCAATTAGTTGAAAGCGATAAATGCGTGCCCAAGCCACTGCACCACGACTCTCCTGGGTTCCAGGTCGGTCACGGAACACCACCAGTGACCCATTATCTCAACCGATCGTGGGCCTCCCCTAGGTCGACTCAGCCTCAAATGAGTACCTGGTGCGGTGTGTAAACATCGCCACTAGGGAGACAAAGGCGGTGGTGTTGGCCACCCACCCCCTCGTGTGCCGTTCCAGCCTTCATAGGTGCTCGCTAACAGCACTTGCCCCAACAGTCTGTTAAGTCAACACGGGGGATCTTTGTCTTTGTATGTAGCGCATAGGTTGTCTAGGAATGTGTTTGTGTGCGAGGGAGCGGTGGTTCCGTGGTTGGCGCACTGCGAATGCATAAGCCAGTCCTTGGCACTCCCGTTTAGGTTGACTCGGCATTAAAATGCGACACACAAACGGGCCGGGTGTCGTTCTTGCCCCCACCCCCCACGCAACCTTCGTTTCTGTGCTGGATAAAAAAAATAATGTGACTCCCACCCCCCCAAAAAAAAGCCTTGTGGAGGCTATACGGGGGACCTTTGTATGTGCCAGTCGTAGTAGGTGTGTCTTGGCCGTGAGGTTTGGCCTGCTTAGCCAGCCGAAGAGAGCGACGCGTTCTCAAATCTGCTCTGCCGTGGAAATGTCCTTTGGTTGCCAACGCTTTCACGAGGTCCCTTTTTAATCAACACAATGGGAGGGTGTGGTGGCGTATGTTCACCGTTCGTCATAGGTAATATCACCATCAGTAGGAGCGGAACATCGTCAGTTGCAGAAGAATGATCGTGGGTAGCCATGTATCATCATCATCGATAATTGATTATCATTCGCAGCAGAAATGAGCGAAGTTCTTCATTAGAATGACCATCATCTGCAGCACGAACATGTGGAAGATTGCCCACAATCATTACGTTTGTCAGGACCTATTTAAGAAATATCTTTGTATTTCCTTTGCCAACACCTACGTTCTATTTATTCCCCACCAAATAGATGTTTTTTTTAAATATACAGCTGCTTGAAATATATACTGAATGGACGAAATGTGTAAAATTTATATTCGCAAATTATCCGATCCATTTTACAAAATAGAACAAGAATGCGTTTTGTTCACAACATAGCCATCATTTTAGAGTTTTCTGCTGACAAGTGAGCCGTGTCGTTTTAAAACAAACTTGGAAGCAATAAAAAAAATACATTAAAAATTTGGTGTTAATAAAATTGCATGACGTACCTGCCTTGAATACAATAAAACATTTAAATGGACAGGAAAAGTATAAAAAAATTTAAAGATTACAAATATAGCATTTAAATAAAATTTAATTGGTAGAAAAAGGTTTATTTTGTATCACAAAGCTATCAATTTTGTATTTTTAAAAAATGTTAAAATGATGCTGTGCGCACAGTTTCATAATAATTTATAGCCCTTTCTCAATCCACTCCTGGATGAAAGCCTCCCCACACCACCGTGTGGATCATGGTGGGGGGGGTGGCGCGTAGTTTGACAATCACCACGCATGTGGTTTGGCCCGGTATCGGTGGTGAGATATCTGTGGCCAGACATCAAACCCGAGGTCACGGAGTTCACACAGCGGAGTGCTGCCAACATCTCCTGCGCCACCACCGCTCCCCGACAAAGTGCGCGCGCGTGGTGTTTTGTCCCACCCATCCCTCCTCCGTGTGCCACTGTTTACGAGGCAACACGGGGCCCCCGACCCCTTTTGCGTCTCTCTTTGTAATGTACGACACGGAAGAAGAAGAAAAAAAAACTACGCACACCGTGAAAATAAATGTAGACAATATTTACTTTAGAGCAAAAAATTATTGAAAATAAAGAATCTTAGTTATTAGGATATTTTTTTCTTATAAAATGCATACAAGACTCGTATATATATCTCGTACTCCCGACTTCTCAGTTCGCGTGCCGCTGGTTCAAAGTTCTATTAAAATACCACTTCTCAAATTCTCATTTATAAACACCACATGTATTAAAGTCCTCGCCTCGTATTTACACACACACACATACACACAATGTACAACGCACGCGCGCGCGCGGGCAGTGAAGGGGGCGTAAGGGGGGGGCCCTCTTACTACACAAGAACGAGCCCTCTTTTTTTTCCTGACGGCACACACACACACACACAGGTCAAGTGCAATTGTTTTTCATTTCCTGTCCCTCTGCAGGTCGTGTACACGAGTCTCGACGCCGCGAGCGATACGAACCGGTGCGTGTAAAAAATAAAAAAACACACACAAACGCCGCACCAGATGGACACGCGTGCACGCACGCACAAACAAACAAGACCTCTGGCGATTAAAAAAAAACCTCGCGACGTGTTGACCGCGCGTGATTATAGCGTCGGAGGGGTGCTGGTAGGCGGTGGGGAGGGGGGGTGGGGCGCGGATGGCGGTGACTCGGGGGTTGCGGTTAGAGGCAAGGCCCCCCTTTCTCCACCCTCGCCACCATTCATTGGTTCTGTGGGGTGAGGGGGGCGGCTACGTGTGTACGGAAGGGAGCCCTTCGGTAAGAACCGCGTTTTTTGCGAGCTGCCTCAATTTGGCGTCTCGCGGTCGATCGGTTAGTGGGGGGGGTCTGGTCGTTGTCGTCGTTCGGGCATTTGTCGGTCGTTTGTTAGTTCGGTCGGCTGGTCGTTCGTTCGATGGGTCATGTGGGTCAAACGGTTGGCGGGGGGGGGGGGGGAGGCGAGTCGCTCCGTCGGTCATTCGTTTGGTCGGCAAGTCGGTCATTCGCTCTCTCGCAAGAGCGGTCGGTCTGTCGGTCAGTCAATTCGGTCGGTCGACGAGTCACGTTCCATGTGTCGGTGCGGTCCCGGGTTGACCAGTGCGAGGAACTGGCGTCCGTCCGTCCGCTCTCTCTCTCTCTCTCCTTGAGCCGAGGCGACGTTGCACGTCGGCCACCGTCATCCTCGCAAGCCGTCCGCTGCCGTGCAAGTCAAACTTCCGCTCCAAGCGGAGGGGAAGGGCCCAAAACACCGACCGCGGCCCGGTCCGGTCCCCGCCAAACCGGGAGGTAGACCCGGTTAGATTCCAGCACCCGGGGCGTCGGGGAGGGGGGGGGGGGCGATCTCGGCGCCTCCGATCTCTCTGTCTCTCTGTGCCCCCCCACCCCTCGCCCTCGTCGGCGGCCCGAGACGTAAAGCGAGCGTCACTTGAGCTGCGCGCGGTACAGCACGCGCGAGTGCGCCGTCTCGCGATCTTGTTCCAGCAAGAAGACGAGGTCGCGCAGGTTGACCCTGGTGAAGCGCGCTCGCTGCGACGGTCTCGTCGGCGTGCCCGGCACCCCGCCGCCGCCGCCGCCGCCGCCACCGCCGCCGCCGGGCCCCGCGACGGCCTCCGCCGCCCCCCCGCCGCTGCCTCCCGCCGCGCCGGTGCCGCCGGAAGACGAAGCGCCGGGCCCCCCACCCCCGGCCTGGAGAGACGGAGGTAAAACATCACTCTCGTGTCCCCACCACCACCACCACCGCCACCACCACCGCCACCGCCGCCGCCGCCACCGCCACCACCACCACCGCCGCCGCCACCACCACCACCACCACCACCGCCGCATGTAGCGCGCGTACGCCGCGACCGTGCGGATCGCTCCGAAGCGACGGCGCGTCGGTACGAGACGTAATGCCTCGCCCACGAGGAGACCCCCCCCCTCCCCCGAGCCGATCCACTGCTGGATGAAGGCTTCGCCACGGCCGTGTGGCTCCGTGGGAGTCGTTTGACCGTACCTCACCACGCCAGTCTCAGTGCGCGCTGCCAAAGTCAGGAGGAGCCCAGGACCCGTTTAGATTCCACTCGCCGATGACCCGAGCCGTGGCCGGAAAATCCAACTCGGGGATCGCCGGGTTCGCAGCGCATTTGCCAACAAATGCTTCAACAAAATGTAGTTGTATAGCTTTAATATTTACTTTTTGTATGCGTGGGCAAGGAAATGAGAGTTTCCGGGGGGTGGAGGGGGGGGGAAACACCCACTGCGATGGTTTTGTAGGGTCAAACTGAACCCTGACCTTACGACAAATCCACCCAACCGATTCTGCACTGCCTCCTGCAGGTTCGCCTTGTACGAACGCTGCGAGGCCAACGCACGAACGTGGAACTAGGCAGTGAGCTGCGCTACTGAAGGTTGGCAGCGATCGCGATGAGGTCGAATGGCGAAGATGAATGCCGGGTCACCGAGACCCCCGCGAGCAGAGATGGCGGTACGGACGGCGTGGAGATTTGACTCCGATTGGAGACTGTGAGCTGGCACCGACCGCTGAGATCCAGAGTTCGAATCCGGATTTCAGCTGCCCAACCGTGAATAAACCGGGTTTCTCAAGTGCAGTGTGTTGTAGGGGGCACAGGCGGTGCATCTTGCCAGCCACCTCAGTGTGTCAACCCACGGCACCTGGGTCTGTCCTGTGATCTCCTGCCGGCAGGCGTTCTACACTTCACGTGGCCTTAAAGTGGCACATAGCCTGGCACAAGCGCCGTGGTAACGTCACCGCCACGTAGTGGTGAATGGCGGTTGTTGTTGTTGCATGTGTACAATTATTTGCGCGCGTGTGTACGCGTCTGCGTTTAGTAGGGAGCACAGGTGGTGCATCGGCCAGTCATCTCAGTGCGTCAACCCACGGCACCTGGGTCTGTCCCGTGACCTCCCGCCAGCGGGCGTTCCGACACTTCAGTGGCACTAAAGTTCACACACAGCCTGGCACAAGCGCTGTGAAGTCACCGACACCTTAGTGGTTGATAATTGTTTTTTTACCCTTCTATCTGGCAACAAAACTGACACCTATTTTTACAAGGAGTCATGTTTACATAGACCACAATACCTGCAGTCATAATGCAAACAAAAAACATAACTCTGATAATGTGCACTGTCCTTGAAGTTGATTCCAATTATCATATTTTTTACTGGCAAATGAGGTTCCAATGGTGTAAATGCTTACCCCGAGCTCTCATACTCTGATAGTGCGCTGTCTTTGAGTTGTACGCCTTTTGGCTTCATCTGGTCCAACACCAATGGAGACTAGGCTCTAAGGAAAGCTGTCTCAGGTGTGGACCAATCAACTTCAAGAACAGTGCACATTATCAGAGTTATGTTTTTTGTTTGCATTATGACTGCAGGTATTGTGGTCTATGTAAACATGACTCCTTGTAAAAATAGGTGTCAGTTTTGTTGCCAGATAGAAGGGTAAAAAAACAATTATCATATTTTTAACTGGCAAATGAGGTTCCAATGGTGTAAACCTTAGTGGTTGTTGTTGTTGTTGTGTGTACTACAGTGGGGAGGTTTGGCGTATCATTTAGCTCGCGGGGCTATAGAAATCCGGTTCCATTCCCGCTCACGGTCAAAGTCAGTGACGAATTTCTGAACCTGTCCTGCGCCTGCCATAGGTCGACTCAAACGAGTACCTGGTGCGATGAGTAAACATCAGCACTGGCCGGGTGACAAAGGGTGCCGGGCAGGGTGCTGACCACAGCACTTGCCCCAACAGCCTGTTAAGGCTCCCTGGGGGGGGGGGGGGGATCTTTTGTCTTTGTACACGCGTGACGGTGCGAGTTGCACGCTCCCCCCACCTCCCCCGGCGTGCCCGGCCCTGGCGAATCGAGTTTCCGCTTCTTGCGTGGCCCGATTGCCGCGAGCGCCGTCAGGTTCGCTTCTCGCTGGCGCATCTGAGCCAGCTCCGCTTGCTGCATCTATGGGTGAGGAAGGGGAGGGAGAGAAAGGCGGACGGGTCAGGAGGCGAGGGGGGGGTCATTTGTGCGAGTCTGGTGGTGTCGTTCACTCGTTGAAAGCCGCCACCGTCGCGCTGCGATCGTTGCGACCTCGGCCGGGCGGCGGTAGATTGTAAGCCAGCCGCTGGCGGCGAAGGTTGGTGGATCATCCCGTGGGCATCATCAAGGTGCCGTACTATGGCTCGCCAGGAGAACGCGGCGCGGAAAATTGCAGACGAGGATCACCCGTCCCCTTCTGTATGGGATGGGGGTGTTTCCCCCCCGTGCGTGCGAATCGTGTCCGGTCACTCTGGGCGTGGTGGTGGTGGCCACCCCACCCCTCCCCCCCCCCTTGCACACAGTGCCAGCCTTCAAAAAGGTGCTCACTAACAGCACTTGCCCCCTAAAAATTGTTAAGGCTATACGAGGGATCTTTATACCTCTTTTGCTTTCTGCTTGAGCCGGGCTTGTTCTGGGTCTTCTTGTCGAGACCGACTCTGCAGACAGAGAGGGAGAGACAGAGGGAGGGACACAGACAGACAGAGACGGAGCACCAGCATGAGAGACCCCGCGTCGTGTGCAAGCGACAGCCGGAGTTACATTGGCCGGGGGGGCCCTGTCACCGAAGTCGACGTCGCCTTGCGTGACCTCGACGTTCAAACGACCCCGACCTTGACCCCGACCATGACCCCGTAAGCCCGATGCCAGGACCGCTCCTGGGTCAGAGAGCAGTGGTCGGCGTCAGCTTGGGTCATCGGCGTAGTGAACGCCTGACGGCCGAATGGTTGGACGTTTCACACACACTTTACACGCGTATATAACTCTTATATAAGCACACAACTTTATCAATCTGTGATGAACGCTGCATTTTCCGTCGCTTTCATGCAGGGGGCGCTGCAAACCTACGCGCCCCCTGCATGAACGACGGAGGCGCAGGGACAGACGTTCGATTACGTTGGAATCGAACTGCAGACGGCGGTCTTCTCGCACGGCTAGCTCTGTGTCGCCTTATCTCGATCCCGCAATCCCAAACAGGTGAAAGTCCGCATCGAACCGAACCCCCGGCAAGGCCATCTACTTAACGACGAGAGAAAATTCACACGAAATGTCCTTTTCAATTAAGTCTTCCAGATGTAAAATGATGTAAGCTTTTAATGAAGAAATAAAATTATCCAATTCAAAACATAACACAATTAAAAGATGTTTAATTTTTTTACTTCAAAACGGAGCATCGGGTGCTTGCGTGAATGCGTCGTTCGTGTTCAATGTTTAATCGTGACTTTCCAAGCCGAAGGCCGTAAATGGACAACCCCCAGTATAATAATATATATGGAACAGGTGTGTCAATAACACCGCCCTGAAAATATATATATATATATAAAATCTACAGCTGCCGCGCATTTGTGCGGTATCTGTGGCCGGAGTAGAGAGTGGGAGTTATGTCAGGGTGACGCACGAAGCCGGCTCAACGCTGTGGGTTGTGGGTGACGTCACCACCGCGCAACTTGTCTGCTCGCGTGCCAGTCAGCGAAACTTTATATATATATAAAAAAGGGTTCCTCATTGACTCTGGTCAAGTATCACAGACAGAGAGAGAGAGCACGCGCAGGAGAGAATGCCCTCGCAGAGCCTGTGGCATCCAAGGGCACGGGTTCACCCGATTGCATACAAAGGATAAGCAACAACGCAGCTTTAGAATTTCTCGCAAACATACGCACACCCTCTGTCGTGCAGTGTTCCGGTCGTAGGCTTTTGGTTGATCTCCTTATCGTTTCTTTCGTGGTGACTTTCAGGCTCACCCCAAATTCTGTCTGACTACAATTCGGCTTGGTGAGAGAGAGCGAGATAGAGAGGTTTTACTCTCGTATCCGGACCCCACGCCCCACATCTCTCCACGCCAACATCAAGAGAGCAACAACCTTGGCCGCCCTGAGTAGAATCTCGCGCTCCTGCTCATCCTTGCGCTGCTTCTCCAGGCGGTCGAGCTGCTCGAAGAACCTCAGCTGAGACCTCACGTCGCTCATCTGCTCCGAGTCGTCCGAGTCCTGCGGGCGTGCGTGCGGGCGAGTAGGGGAGGGGGGGATTGCACAGGCGAGGAGTATGCGGGTGAGAGGACGAGTGAGTTTGACGGCGAGTGTGTGGGCGAATACGGGAGCAGGGCAGTTCAGTGCACATCGATCGTCTGGGTGCGGTGCACTCACCCTGTACGTCTCCGTGCGGTGCTGTGCGATGACGCTCAGCCTCTCCACCAGGTTCTTGAGCCTCTCCTGCGCCGCGTGCGACACCAACCCCACCACGTCCGCAGGCACCTCCGTCACGCCGTACCGCCGGCCTGACACGTACACACCGCACACACACCACAGGTACACGCACACGTACACACCGCACACACACCACAGGTACACGCACGCGTACACACCGCACACACACCATACACACCACACAGGTACACGCACGCGTAAACACCGCACACACACCACACACCACACGTACACGCACGCGTACACACCGCACACATACCACACACATACCACACACGTACACGCACGCACATTCTAGAAATTAGCTCAATCAGAGACAATCTAATTGACACAACTCCCTGTATGCAGAACCACATCACCATGATCAATATCACTACCATTACCATCCCAAATCACCATCGCTACCAGAATCATAAACATCAACTTCATCATCATTACCACCATCACCACTAACAGACAGCAGCCCAATTACCACAACGATCTCATGTCAATTACCACCACCACCACCCATATCTTCATTATCATCACCACCAATATAAACATTATCACTACAACCACCACAATTTTCATCACAACCAGCACTGCCACCAACACACGCCCAAAGTCAATCGTCATCATCATTTTCCCGGGGTAGAGAAAGTGAGCTCTACATGGTGAGACTGCACCATCTAGTGGTAACTCAACATTCGTCACTTAACTCACAGCCTGGATCCTGTCAAAAGAATGTGGAATTGCCACCAGAGTATACCGAAACACAGTAAAACCTTGGATTGCGAGTAATTTGGTCTGCGAGTGTTTTGAAAGACGAGCAACATTTTAAAATAAATATTAATTTGATAAACGAGCGAGGTCTTGCAATACGAGTAGTACGTGTATACGCTTTGTCTGCCCAGCGTCACGTGATCACAACTGATATACGAGTGCTTTGGATTACAAACACGTTTCCGGAACGAATTATGCTCGCAATCCAAGGTTTTACTGTACCTGGATGCTCTGCCCTCACCACCAGCACCGGGGAGACGACAATATCCGGGTGTTCCGTGCCGACCCCACACTACTCCCCGGCAATCACACGTCGGGCGACTTGGCCAAAACGGGTGCTCGCTAACGCACGACGCCTCACCCTGCTGCCGTGTCACAACCGCTAACGGGCCAATCATTACCACCGCCACCAGTAGCAGCCAAATAATTAAAATCATAACCACCAATTCTACTACCACCACCACCTTCCACCACCAGTGCCAGTCACCAAGCCCGCCATCACCACGACCGCACCCGCGAGTCCAATCGGTCGATCTTAACGGAGCTTCGCTTGCTAAAGGCGTGCTACCGGTTGGGCGAGTCATGGCCATGCATCTGTGTCCGTGGGGAGCGGTAGGGGAGTGGTAGTGTAGCGGTTCGCTCGCTGCGCTACGAACCTGGCGACACGAGTTCGATTCCCGCTCAAGGCCAACACCGGTGACGATTAATTATCTGAACCGGTCCTGGGTCGACTCAGCCCCAAAACGAGTACCCGGTGCTGCGTGCAAACATCACCACTAGGGCGTGGTGCTGGCCACCCATCCCTTTGTGTGCGCCGTGGCGGCCTTCACAGGTGCCGCTCGCTAACAGCACTTGCCCCGATAGTCTCTTAATGCTGTACGGGGGGGATCTTTGTCTTTGTGCATCCGCTCGCTTGTGCCGCATTCTCACCAATGTCGAGCAGGCGGCGCTGGAGGGGCCCTGCCGACAGGAAGGCCTCGTCACGGCACGAGCGGATCTGCGTCCCCACCGTGTCGGAGCCCGTGGCCGCGATGCGTGCGCTCTCCTCGTTGATGTTCACGCCCGCCATGGAGGCGACGTCGTTGATGTCGTCATCGTCCCTGGTGAGGGAGGGGGAGCGAGGGACGGGGATAGAGAAGGGGAGACTCGCGACTTGCTTACCCAGGGGGAAGGGCTCACCAAAGCCTCGCAACTCTTGCGGGTGGGTCCTGCCACGGTGATTGTTGCTACGTGCAATGATTATTGCGACGTGTCTGTGCTCTGGATACTTTGCATATTGCTACCCTGCAATGTCCTGTCGCTTCCGCCACTGCTGAGGGTCTTGTCCCTATGTAACTATGAATGTCCATGAAACTCCATGGTTCTCCATGTAACTCTACAGATCTCCATGCAACTCTATGTAACTGCAACGCCTCGCAACCGCTGCCACTGCCGACGGTCTTGAGCTGCGGTCGTCCGTGTAACAGAGCTGCTTGGCTCAATGGGGGTCTCACCAACTGAAATAAAATTCAGATTCCGAGCAGGCATGCTGATTCATGTGCGCGTGCATGTGCGTACGTGCATGTGCGTGCGTGCGTGCATGTGCGTGTGCGTGCATGTGCGTGCATGTGCGTGCGTGCGCGTGCGTGCGCGTGCATGCGCGTGCATGTGCGTGCGTGCATGTGCGTGCGTGCGTGTGCGTGCATGTGCTTGCATGCGTAAGGGTCCCCCTACTTGAAAGTGCCGCCCCCAGGATCCTTCATCTTCCCCTTCTGGCTCGCCGATGCCTGCAGCCCGGTGGCTCCCGGCACGCCTGTGGGGGGTGGCCTGATGAGAGCAGGGCCCTGAGTCTTGACCACCGTGCCTGGTGGGGGATGGGGGGAGAGGGGTTGCAACGGGGTCAAACACGGGTACCGCGTCAGCACCGCGGGCTGTTAACCCTTTGCCGTTCCGATGACGTCCGCAAGTTGCAGGGTGTTTGTTCCATTCACTGCCGAATCTCAGAAACGCGCAAAGAGGGCGGCTCGGCTTTCATTTTATTTCGAGAGGCATAGCGCCGCTGTTTGTTAAAGACCGTGGACCGTACTCACCGCAGAGAACCGTAGCGACACGACCACCGCACTCCATTACAGCCGATGCCAAACTGTGCCCCACTGCCCACCCCGTATGGCCCTTAACTTCCAATTCCTTTCGGAATCGATTTAGATTCCATTTCGAATTGAATCCGTGCCGCTGCCGCAAACGTACGCAATTGCAACGGAAGTCGGAAGAAAAACTGATGACGTACACGTCATCGGAAAAGGGTCAACGGGACCGAGTAAACACTTTGGAAGAGCATAAAGGTCAACTTTAGGGATATAATATGGAAACGGCAACACGTGTTACTCTACGGGACAGAGTTGAACTTGAACAGCATGTGCAGCCACTTTGTTTATCCACTGCTAGGTGAGAGCCTCTCTGCACCTGTGTGGACCGTGGGCTTGTTATAATATGACCCTGCAGGTCGACGCAAGTTGGTGGCGGCGGGGAGCGTAGAAGAGGAACCATAGGAGTATGGTACAACGGTGGATGTTGTTGCAGTGCCCTCTGCCACCTCCATTGCCAGAAATGCAAAATTCGGGTGCAATTTGCGTAAACCGTAGGTAATCTCAGTTACCGTGGAGGTGAGAAATCATTTGAACAAAAAGTCGGCAAACGATTTTCAATCGATCGTTAGGCGCCTCGTCGGAAGGCAGAAATTCAACGAGTGAAGGAGCATCGCGCATCGAGCCAAACCAGACGAGCGAACCAATCTTCTTCTGTTCCATAGAAGTGGCAGCATAACAAGGGTAGATCGAGTTCAGAGAGCCCGTGTAAGGACATCAAACGGATGAGGAATGAGCTAACGTAGTCCGGCCGGCAAGCGAGCGAGTGCTGGCGACACTTATTCACGTCGTTTGTCGAGGACGCTCTGACGACTCGTTCACCAGATATACGTGCCGCCCGCCGGAAGTCCCGATCCAGTTTACGATCACCGATCGATGGATCGGGGGGTGAATCGTAGGTCGCCGAGCGCATTGCTCACCGGGCTTGATGTGTGTACTGCCGCGAGCCTGCGACTGCAGCACAATCTGCTTCACTCCACCCCCATGCTGCGTCGTCAGAACCTACAACACAAAGACAAAAGATCCCCCCCCATCCCCCGTAGAGCCTTAACAGACGGTCACGGGGCATGCGCCGTTAAGCGAGCACCTACGGAGGCCAGCACGGCACACGAGGGCGTCGGTGGCCTCGCACACCGCACCAGGGACTCATCTGAGGCTGAATCGACCTAGGGGAGGCCCAGGACAGGTTCAGATATTCGTCACTGGTGTTGGCCATGAGCGGGAATCAAACTCGGGCCGCCGGGTTTGTAGCGAAGCGAAGCGCTAACCGCCACACGTACACACACACATACAAACACCCATACACATGCCTAACACTCACGTACACACATGCTCACACACACACACCGCATTACACCCTTGTTAAGATAATGAGATCACTGGGGAGAATTCTGTCAATAGGCATCTATTAATAAACCAGCAAATTCGTTTTAAATGCCAGAGACAGGATAGATAGAGCAGAGCAATGCGAAAATATCGCCATTGATTCTTGACGCGCGTTCGACTACACGAAACAATGGGAGCACCAGTATCGCTGCAGCCACCGCCACCACCACCGCCACCGTTATCCCCATCACTGCCACGAGTGCCAACAGCACCACGATTAGCAAAACACAAACGTATCAACGCAAGCATATCAACACGGATACAGCGGCCGTGAGCTCTCCCCATAATTGCCGGTGCCGCCACCACCACCACCATCATCATGGCTCGTGACAAGGCCTAGCTGGAGCAAGTTCGCCGCTTGTTGCAGAGGTTCACCGTTCAAATCCAGCGGCCGCCCTGCTTATTCTTGCGGGTGTAGTATCCAGTCACATAATGTTTCCCCAGTGGATGTTACGGATGCCCCCGATGTCATTCGCAAGAGTGACCTATCGAGTCGGCGTCGGGGTCCAGATTTGCCATATTTGAAGAATTCGAATGATATTCATATTATAGCAATAATTTCCCTAACGCTCGTTGCTTGAGTTCCCACCTGGTTAAACAAAATAAACTAAACATCAGTGACTTATGATAATTGGTTTTTTACCCTTCTATCTGGCAACAAAACTAACACCTTTTTTACAAGGAGTCATGTTTGCATAGACCACAATACCTGCAGCCATAATGCAAACAAAAAACTTAACTCTGATAATATATATCCACTGTCCTTGAAATTGATTGGTCCACACCGAGACAGCTTTCCTTAGAGCCTAGTCTCACATGGGTTGGACCAGATGACGCCAAAAGGCGCATAACTCAAAGACAATGCACCATCAGAGTATGAGAGCTGGGGGTAAGCATTTACACCATTGGAACCTCATTTGCCAGTAAAACATATGAGAATTGTTTTTTTACCCTTCTATCTGGCAACAAAACTGACACCTTTTTTACAAGGAGTCATGTTTGCAAACATGTTTGCAAATATTTTTTACTGGCAAATGAGGTTCCAATGGTGTAAATCAGTGACTTAATTTTACTGTCAATTTGAGAATATTTACCACCACCATCACGAAGATCACAATCCTCTCCGTCACTACGACACGACTACCATCGCTACCACCACGACCATCAACAGGATCATCACCAGTCTAACCATCGAACAAAGACGGTGGACTGCATCGTGCACTTTCAGATGCGCTTCTGTGGCTGTCTGGAACCCTCTTCCCCTCGATATTAGAAAGCCACTGGAGCTATGCACTTTTAAATTTAAATTGAAAACTAATTTCAGCACGGATGTTCATACTGAGCTGTCGTTCCTCCGCACCTCCGATTAGCACGGTTTGGCGACGTAGGGTGCGAAAGAAGTCAAACATACACATACATACAGCCATACCACCACTACTGCCAACACATCAATACCACCACCACCACTTCACCACCTCCGTACCGTGTGTAGCGGTGCCTGCGCCGCGTGCGTCTGCGCTCCCAGGGGTCGCGCGGCGCCGGTCGAGGTCGCCGGGGGTCCGATCGCGTTGAGCTGCGGGGCCGACTGGGTCGGCGCTTGCGGGTTCTGCGCCAGGTAGCGCACGGCCGGCAGGCTTTTCTGCGAGAGAGCGCGCCGGCACGGCATGAGCCATCGTTCCCGGCGCCGGGATTCGCTCCGGCGCGCCTCGGTGAATCGGTGAGAGCGAGAGAACCGCCGCCGCCGGAGAGCAACGGAGCGACGCTGCAACTCCAACGGCAATGCGGTGCCTCGTCACCCATTTGTCGTCACAATCACAAGTCGAGAATAGAAGATGTTTCTTCTAACCTCGCTTGTACAGACACGTTTGTTCCGAACGACTCGCGCGTACTTCCTGCTCCTGGGGGTTCGGTCTGCCGCGCCACTGCGGCGTACGACGCTCCGCGGTTGGGATTTTAACGACCGACGCTTCTCAAGTGCAACCGAGTGAACCGTCACGATTCGGGACGACAATTCTACTTATCTCATTTGTACTTCCTATCTCGTACGCAAACATCCGGTCTAAATCTCGTCTCTCGTCTATTATTCCCAGCTTGTTTGCATACGCAATCATGTTCGTTGTCTTATTTACTCCGTCTTTGTCTGTATTTGCTATCTTGTACGGAACATCTTGTTCAACTACGTCTTGTCTCTATTGCACTCTCGTCTGTGCCTGTACGCGTGGATGTATGTGGGACTTCTTTCGCACCGTACGTAGCCAGCCGCGTCAATCTGAGGTGCCTTTGGCTCCTGGTCTGTTTTACCTGCTCTGCCCTTTTTATGTTATCCATTTGTTCTCTCTCTGTTGTAATTCCTGTCTGAAATATAAGCCATTCGCAGAGATAACATACTAAATTAATTTTTTTTTTCTTTAAACGTTGTATGTTCAAGGCCTTCCATTAAGAAGCAGCAAAAATAACTCGAATAAAAATGTCCCCATTTTATTCTGTTAGGCGAGTACATTATCATTTGCCATCATGGAATTGTTTGTGTACCTGTCATACACCGTGATCTGTGTTTGTACAGCCCTGAAATTAACCGTCTGTAATTGGATGAAATCCATCACATCTAAGCTCATTTCAAACAAAAACTCTCCAACTGCATCCTCAACGCACTTATTTGACGTAATGTAAAGAACGTCCAAGAACACTTTTTTCATAAGGACGTATAGATTTGTACACGTCCAATTGGTCTTTCATTTGAGTAAAAGACACTTTAATCTAATTAAAAATCAATCTGAAAAGTTAATCGTGGGCGACTGGACCAAGACCAATAACTACGCTTGAAAATGGCATCTTTTTGTTTCCCTATACTTTGCAACACTTTTTCTGACATAAGGTATTCCAACGGTTTTAATGTAATTTTGGGGTGCTGATTCCAAATCTGGCATCAGTTTTAGTCTATCACATCAGGTTTTTGAGATATTAAATATTGCATTTTCAATAAAAACTGCAGAAGAAAAGTGTTAAATAAATGTGGATATCTACATAAAATGATATTATAAACACACTATCCTAAAAATACAGCACCATGTTTTAACACTAAAGCAGTCACTGACTCGCAACAACTTGCAATCATAAGTGACAGGGTTAATTTCGGGTAAAATCAATGAAAATGGGGTATGCCGATAGCATAAAAATAATGTGATAGAGCAAATCTGAGATCAGATTTGGAATCAGCACCCTGAAATTAGTCTAAAACAGCTGCAAAAGTCCAGGCCAGAAAAACATGTTTTTTTTTGTTGACCAGTGTCGATATTGTCGTATCGTTTGTTCTTGTAACTTTATGATCTGTCCCCGCTGGACATCTGCCAAAAAAGAGCTTCACAGCTCTTCGGATTCCTCCGGGACAAACAAATACTCTGATATTCTAGGTTCTTTCGGTAAAGTCACGTAGAAGGGAAATAATAAAATAATATTAATATAAAAAATATGTTTCACGTGTTTTAATTATTTTATTATTTTATTATTTCCCTTCTACGTGACTTTACCGAAAGAACCAAGAATACGAATCCCTGCAGTCACGAAAGCTTTAAATAAAAAACAAATACTCTGATGCCGATGATTCGAGCGCTGCGGCTGAAACCAGAATTAACGCGCAGGATTCTGAGCGGTCGCCGGCTCCAGTGTCTCCAACAGAGGTCGCAACCGGGTACCCGATACCCGTACCCTACCCGACACCCGGCTACCCATTTGCGACCCTGGTGCGGCCGGGTACGGGTAAGGAATCAAAACCCGTTTGCGACCTCTGGTCTCCAACCGGCATCGACCACGGTGAGAACCACCGGATCCACCCCATCCAACTCATCGGTCTCAAGTGCCACGGCCGCCACGACACCACGTGGGTGCTCGTCGCAGCGCCGCGGTGGTGTCGCGGGGTCTCTGCGCGCGGCTTTGCGTGGGTCGGCTGCGAGGACAAACCTTGAGGAAGGGCACGAGGTAGGGCTGTGGCGACGACTTGAGCTCCTTCTGCAGCCGCGATGTGAACTCCTCCGGTTCCATCTTGGCATCCTGGACAACAATCGCAAATTGTTGTTGTCGTCGTCATCGCCAATTGTCATCACAATTGTCATCATCATCACCACCATTATCATCATCATGGTGCGAAAGAAGTTCAACACACATGCATCATTGCGACAATCATAACCATTATAACCATTATCACCATTATCATCACCAATATTGCCACCACCATCGATGTCACGACTATCATCATTATTACCATTTTCCCCGACCATAATTATAGCCATCACCATTAATAGTATTATCAATACCTTTACCAACATCATGATCATCATCATCGCCTTATAATCATCACCATCACGCAACCATTAAATTCATCACCATCACCAGCATCATCACTACTATCAACAAGGTCGCCATCAATTTCGTTACCGACCGGCCTCGACAGCTGTCCGTTCGCGCGAACGGACACCAGGTGAATGGCCTGAAATCCCCAGTCTATCCGTCTTGCTCTCTCTCTCTCGCTCTCTTCACCTTGCCGTCCAAGCACGCGCTGTCGCGAGCACTCTCCGCCAATCACTCGGCACCGATCGCTTTGCAACTACTCGCAGGACGGCGCGCGAGGCCATTGGCTTTGCCACGTCATTACGTCTCTCAGGTCACACCCTCTCAATCAACAACCAAAAAAACGAACGCAAACTCGCATTCGGCAAAAGGGGATTTTCTTTTTTGCGTGGTTTTTTTTCATTGCAATTGAAAATTCTTGTCCCTGACTATTCGGTCTCGAGTTAAAACAGCACTCTCACCTAGGCCTCGGCAAGGTAAGGTAATTGTACCCTTTTTACCGGGTAAAAGGGTAAAGGTGTCGACATGCCAAGGGGTAAAGCTAAAGGGTAGGGTAAAAGGTAGGCTCGTTGCATTTTATCTTTTACCTTACCTGCTAAAGGGTAAAAGGTAGGGTAGAGTGATTGTATTGTGGTAAGTTAAAAGGTAGGGTAAAGGTAGGCTCGTTGTTTTTAAATCCATTATATTAAGTTCACTTGCTTGCTTGCGCGCTTACGACCGTGCAAATCTTTTGGTCGTTTTTTAACCCACTTCCCGTGATCCAATCGAGCTGACATTTTGCACACAGACTCGTTGTGCGTGACAATTTATTTTCGTGAAAAATTTTTTAAAAATTTTTCCACTTTTTAGGAAAAAAAAATTTCATATTTAATTTAAAATACCAATGTGATAAAAATGAAACTCTTACTCAAGAAAAACAGAAATCAATAATAAAATAAAAACCGATGCCACGCATATAAAGGATTTATAGTGAAAAACTTTGTTTTTACGGGTTAATTTTTTACACTTTTACCTTACCTTGCCGAGGCCTACTCTCGCCCCCAACAACCTGTGGAGGCCATACACGGGGGAGGGGGGGGGGCGGTCTTTGCATTCAACTGCACCCACCAGGAGGTTTTGCACCAGCTCCTTGACGTTGCGCGTCGTCTCGGGCGACTGCTGGCCGGACGACGCCAGCTTGATGAGCGTCGAGAGGAAGTTCTTGCACTTCTTGACGTTCTCCATCACCTCCTGTGAATAGGGAGGGAGGGAGGGAGCCACGCAAGCGGACAAAAGGAAGAGATGGCGTACAGGGAAATAATTTTAAACTATTAAAACTAGTTCTTTTTCAGAAACGACCTGGCCACAAATGATAGCTCAACAAAGTGGCTTATCACGTGGAAATATATAGCAGCCAAATATTTCCAAACGTGGAGGGAAAAACCGGAGGAGCCGGAGAAAAATTCACGTGACCACGGGGAGAGGGACACACAAAATATACGGCAGGTGTCAAGGGTCGGGATCGAAGCCATGGCATCCTGGACACCAGGCAAGGTAGTTAACATCCCGGGAGTTAGTTAAACATTTTCTTACAATCTATTTTTCTTTATTCAAAGCATGGATATGTGTGGGCCACCTTATGAGCGCTCCCGTTTTTTCAAGGGCACATACTGTCCACGTTCCCTCCCCCAGAATATTAATTCCCCCCCCCACAGTAACTAATGTTCAAGAATATTGGTTCCGCTTACGAATATTTGTACTCCCTTATTTTATTACAGCAATGTAACCTTTCTTCGCGCGTTGTGCAATTTGCATGCGAATGTTTTTGAAGATAGCTTTCCAAACTTGTTTTGGAAACAGCTGCTTATTTTGCTTTTTTGGTAGTTTTACTTTTTCACAACGCATGAACGGTTTTCACTTTTCCCTCACCAATGTAAGCGGCTAACCCTTAACCTGACTGTTAACGCCTTACCCGTAACCCACTGGTCCAACCCTGTGGGTACAAATAAGTAAATGGAAACATGTTTGCCAGTGGAATCGCATGTTCGTACACCATAGGGGAAAAAAATATTTTGGGGCAACCAAAAGTTGTTTACACCGGCACTGCTGAGAACTTTGGCTCAGACCTGGGTTTCAGCTGTCGGTAATTAATTCGGCTTCTCAAGTATAACGAGTTTATGATCTCAGCCAAATCACTGACGGCTGCTCGAAACACGCGCACTTGAAGGGATCTCAGGTGATATCCACTTCAGAGTGGAGTGCTCTGAATGCGGAGGGTAGCACACTGCTCTGCAAAAGATTCACATGGATACTTCCGTTTGGTGACATGACTCCGATAGCACAAATATGGATAAAATCGTTGAATAATTTTACGTTTTCTACGCATGCGTTTAAGTAGGAATCAAAATAAAATCTATGTTCAACTTATTTTGTACCGTGCGTAGCCAACCATGTTAATAATACGTGTGGAAGAAGGACATCAAACTAAACACAAAATCAGTTCTAAAGAAGTGAGTTATCAATCTAGACGATTTAGAAGTTCACCGCCCCAGTGACTTCCTAACATCGGAAGGAAGGGCGTTCCAGACGGCCGCAGGAGGAGGCGTGGCAGGGCACCGTGTGGGCGTACCGGCGTGAAGACGAGCGGAGGCTGGCTGGCGGGAAGAGCGGGCCCTGCGGGAGGGGCCGGCGTGGCAGCGGCGAGCGTGGGTGCCCCCCCCACCGGCGGCGTCACCGATGCAATCTTGACACGGGCACGCGCAGCGGGGCAAACGTTAAAAAGAGTGACGCGAAACCCCGGTGCCCGACGTCGACCGACCCCAAGCCTCTCGTTCTCCTGCCGAACGACGCCGAGCATCTCGCATCGTACATCGGCGGGCCTCCCAAATTCCGCTATTTCCTTACCACAGCTACCGCTGGACACCTGGACCGTACCGTGTCACATGACACCCACCCGGAATATGTTCACACTCACTCGTGGTGAATGGAGCCCTTGCGCTGATGACACTGGGCTAGAGTTGCGCTGTTCATGGGCTAACAGAGCCCGGGTTGGGTTTTCAGTGGCGACGGTGGTGGCGGAAGTGGTGGTGAGTGGGCGCCACGGTGGCGAGATATTAACTACCTCGCCTGGTATGCAGGAGGTCTTGGATTCAATCCAGATCCTGACACCTGTTGTATATTTGGAGTTTGTGTGTCTCTCTCCCCGTGGTCGCGTGTGTATTTTTCTCTGAGTCCTCTGGCTTATAAACACGCGTTTAGAGTATCTTGCCGCTGCTATAAATGTCCACGTGATAAGCCCACTTCATTGAGCTTTCATTTGTGGCCAGGTCGCTTCTTAAAAATAAGCTATACAGCTCTGTGGGCATCACCTTGTTTTGTTTAAGTCTGGGTGGTGGTTAATGGTTGCCGAGTGCGGTGGCGCACGGAGAGACGAAGGTAGCGCGGGTACCTGCAGCGCGGCCAGCCGCACTCCCTGCTGCGGTTGAGTGGCGGGGCTGGCGGCCGGTGGGCTGGGGGCGTGCGCCACCGTGGCCACGGTGGGGGAGGGGGGCACGGGGGCGGCGTGGGGGGCGGCGCCACCGGCCTGCGCCAGCACCGACTGCTGGATGAGGAAGAGCTGGCCCTGCTCGCCGGCGCGCACCATCACCGTACCTGCGGGTGGGCACAAGCCAAAGATCCCCCCCCATGTAGCTTTCAACAGACTGTTGGGGCAAGTGTCGTTCGCAAGCGCCTATTATGGGCCGTAGGCGCTACAAGTCACGTGCCTACTCTGTCGACCAGTGCCTGCTCCAGCCTACCGGCGGCCCAGACTATAATCGGTGAGAAGTCCTGTGTCCATTAATCTGCACATACGCAAAATAAAAATACATAGGACTCAAATAAACATTCATGTAATTTCTAACGATGATCATATTTTTTTTTTAAACCCTCTGTCCTTTCCACTGCTGAATAAGGGCCTCCCCATTCCATGCGGCCATGTGGATGGTTATTCCAACACACTTCACCACGCTCTGGCCGGTGCAGTTGAGTGAAGATGGAGAGCAGACCCATCAGGACGGTAGCAGCAAAGTACAACAACAATGGGGAAGGTTTTCGCACTGCCCTCTGCTGCCCACAATGCAGCACAGCGCGGTAGGCGCACGTGACAGGCTCGCACACTTCGAGCGCTCCCGTCATGACGATTGTTTACTTTTATTATTATTACTGCACTTGTTTACGCGAAAGCCCTCAACGAATCTGAAACTCTCTTACAGGACGGTTCTGCCAAGTGCTCTGTGGTAAGGGGGCAATATTGCTACGTGTGATCGCAATTACGTAATTTGCAGGTCATTTTTTACATCCGAATGTTTTGCTAAATAATACATCGGATGTTTTGTCTTTTTGGCTCTGCGAGGAAACCCATACAGAACGGGGGACAGAACGTACAAATTCCACACAGGTAAGGCGCCCGAGTCGGGAATCGAACCCAGGACGTTTATTGGTGCCTTGAAGCACAAGCGCACCACCCAGCCGCCCAATATCTCTCGCCAAAGTCTCCTTCGCAAGAGGGACCTGTGACCACAAGTGACAACAGCACAAATACATTTCAGTGCTGTCCAACGGCTCATTTCAGCGTCTACGGCACTCAATGAAGTGTATTGTTGTTGTTGTTGCTGCTGCTGCTACATATTTAGAAAGTACAGGGGAGGGGAGGGAGGGACCTTGGAAAACTTTATGGAAGGATTTCACAATCGTCGCACTGTGCACGTGACGGCGGCATATCGCAATGGTCAACTTCATGACCATTCCAACACTGGCATGAATCTATTTCGCGTGAAAACTCTCGACGGGCCCCGACGTAAAAGATCGCGCGCAACCTCGTGTTCCGTGTAGCAGATTCCACGAACGGCTCTCGCGTCAATCCACCGTTAACGCGTGGACCAGAGGACCCTTGAAGAAGCCTCCCAAGTCGTTCTGCGACAGCCGTTTCCGCAGGGCCGTTTTCTAACAAGGCGGGCGGGGGAGGGTTGCGCCGTTCAATCCGCCATCGGGCCCTGATCAATCCACGAATGGATGACGGCTCATGGTGCTAATGCCAGAGGGCTGATATCGCTCCATCTCCACGGTGGTCGTCCTCTCGGGAGTGTTCCATATTTTTTGGCTACAATTGTGTTCTAGTGATGTGCCCTGCCCAAGCCTACTCAACTTTCTTAACAGAATATGACATTTCTAAAACTATTTCTTCTCAAATCCACATTTTTCTTTCGATGCTGCTAATATCAAATGCGCATCTTTCCACGCTTCGTTACGTAATTGTAACGTTAAATAATGTTTGGTTTTAAAACACGAGCGTATAGGTTGAGACATTTTCATCTCACAATCGCTGAGAAACCACAGACAAGCTGGAAGGCAGGCAGGCAGGTGAGCCAGTGCCAACAATTTAATTGCCCAATCGCAGGAGCGCTTTTTATTTTAAGATGTTTTCAGCCAATAAATGATTGTTTATACACGTGGGAAGAAACCGGGGCACCTGGAGAAAACCCACGCGTGCAAAGGGGAGGAGGAGGGCAACACTCTAGACCCACACAGGAGGGACGGATGATACGAGTCTACACTTTGTTGTTATCGCCTTCTCATGGCGATCTCGTGTACGGCACAACGACACACAACACGGGGAATGGAGTTTCTCAGCATTTGTACGATCCACCAAACCTAGTCTCAACAGTGCTGGCCTATGGGCGTGTGCCACTACCCCCGGGCAATATCCACGCTCACACAATTTGCACCGACTGAAAACGTTCCTATTCAGGTACAAGGGTTGCGTTGATTTTGATTTCTGAATTACATTTTTCAAAAGCGCTGCACAATTTCTCATTCGACAATTTACATCACCATTTCAACCTTGAGCCGTCTTCAAAGCCGTCTATGCACACTGCACATAGTTATTTTTTTTTGTCCGTGTCCCTCCAAGAGAAATCATCTTTTGTTTAACTTGTTGTTTACGAGACAAAAACATGTTAATTATCGGCATATGCTAGTGCAAGCCAAACACTGATGAATGGAATTGATCAATCATTGTTCCAATGCCGGAACCTCCTGAAAAAAAATCTTGAGACCCAGAGATATTTTCATCGAAGAAGAATATAGGGCCTCATTAATAATAATCCATTATTCCTACCGTGTCCGTCAAAATATAAACAAACGCCTGTTCCTCTCGCCTCCAAATCATCGCACGCTCTCCCAACCTCATCGTCATCGTGAGCATTAGCCACGATATCTCCGCTGCTAGATGAAGGCCTCTCAAAGCCACCGACGTCTGCCGGGCCTGCGATGCCACCGATACATTTTGCTGCTGCTGCACACGAGCCAATTTCAATGCCCCATCTCCCGCAGCGCGATTTTCTCTCGGCCTTTTCCCTCCTTTTCCTGCAATTCCATCTCCTTAGTCGGGACCGCTGGCCATCGTCTCTTCTAGCGAGGCATCATGCCCAAGCCCATCTACATTTCTTAACAGTGTGGATGATCTTCTTGGTTTTTTCGGTAAAGTCACGTAGAAGGAAAATAATAAAATAATAAAAATAAAACATAATAAAATAATTCTCACGACGTTTCGGCCACAACGCAAGCAGCCGTCCTCAGGTGAAGAATGAAACACCACCAAGCTTCACCTGAGGACGGCTGCTTGCGTTGTGGCCGAAGCGTCGTGAGAATTATTTTATTATGTTTTATTTGTATTATTTCCCTTCTACGTGACTTTACCGAAAGAACCAAGAAGATGAATCCCTGCAGTCACGAAAGCTTTAAATCGAAATTTAGTGTGGATGATGTCGTTAACCTGCGTATGCTGTGTAATACATGTCCTCCCTTTTATGTCTCTAAATTTAATTACAAACGTGCACCTGTCCAGGCTTCTGTGCACTTTCCATCTTTTTGTTCTATTTCTCGTTGTCTTTGTCGATGTTTCCGATCCACATCATTGCAGGTAGTATATTGTAATGCGATGTTGCTTTTTCATTACGAAGGCCAGTTTTACACAAGTACTCCGGCCTGCTGCCGTGTTTATCGCCGTAATTCTCCTGAAAAGACGCTCGGGGAGGTAAGACGCACGCTACCCCAACTTCTGGCCAGTGTCAATAACGTTGCACAAATCTGGTCTCACACACGCACCGACTGGATTTTCAGAACCCCCCCCACCTCCCAAACCAATTCTTGCTTTCAAGTGCAGACAAAAATAAGTGCGTCTTATACTCAATCTCGAGTATGTGTATAACTGGTATAACTCCTTGGGACAACTAATTTAAAAAAAAATAAGGACACATGTAACGTTCTTACCCACCCCGAGTGGACATCTGTGAAATAGAGCCTTGTCGCTCATCGGATTCCTCCAGAATAAATATTCTGATTCTGACATGAAAGTAAATATCAGGAGTTGTGTGAAGTGGTGAAAAGAGGCCTGGGATTTCAGATAAAACAGCAAGACAATGCTCACGATCACAGCTATCGGATCCGTGAAGACGGTGACTTTTGCCTATGGAAGTACTGGGGCACAAACGAGAGGGAAATTAAATATTACCGAGTTGGCCGATTTACGTAGCGTTGAAGTCCGCACAACAACAACACGAGCGCTTTTGTGGAAACCTCACTCGGCAATATACTTTGCCGGGGTAGCCTTGGAATGCGGAGAGAAAGTCGATGAAAGTTCAGTGCTTAATGACAATTGTTTATCCAGAAAAGCGTTCCGTTAGAATGGGATGTTTGAGCGATGGCATGAACGAGTGTTTGGCTTTGTGGCGGAGAAAACCAAAGAAGCCAGGAGAAAACCCACCACGGATTAGACAAGAGTGTTGACACTCGGTACTGCCACCTGCTAAGCACACCTCGCAGCCCCATACCTTCAACAGCTGTCAAAAGCCCTGGTGGTCACCCATTTAAGTACTAACGAGGCTCAACTCTGTTTGGTTTCTGAGAGCTGATGGGATCGGGAGCATGTAGGGTGATTTGGTGAGGCGTAACTATAGAATTGTTTTTTTTTTACGTGGCAGTCTTTGCAACGGGGTAGACTTAAATCTTTTATCTTAAACGTCGTCACCGTCACACTTTCACTGGGTCCAATTATAACGCAAAATTTGAAGAGCCACCCGCTTGGCGATCTAGGGAAGGGGAAAAGTGGCCATGCTTGATGAGGACTCAGGAAAAAAATTGGCAAAGATTTGCCGACTGCAGGGTCCAAAAAAATGTGCACCGACCACTGTGTGTATCGTGTGGATAGGAGATGAAAAGCGGTGCATGCAGGGATGAAGCGATGGACGCTGGGATGAATAGGTTGGCGCTCGCTCACCGCAGAGTGGGCAAACGCTTTTAGTCTTAACAGTGCGATGCTGATATGGGGCCTGTGCGTCTATCTGCAAGCCTCCGACAGTACCAGTGGTGATGGGAAGGGAGCAACAGCACCGTACGGCACACCTCAACAAGTATAACCCGTAAAAACAAAGTTTTTCACTCTAAATCCTTTATATGCGTGGCAGCTAGAGTCCTCTCGTCCTCTGGCTTGAGATGGCTGCCACCTATGGGTCAGATGATTGTCTGCCAGTATTAAGCAATTGGTAATTAAATATTTAATTTGTTTTCCCTAAACAGTGTAAATTTTTCGAATTTTCTTTTCACGAACATTAATTGTCTCGCACAACGAGTCTGTGTGCAAAATGTCAGCTCGATTTGATCACGGGAAGTGGGTTAAAAAACGACCGAAAAATTTGCACGGTCGTAAGCAAGAAAGCAAGCACGCAAGCACGCAAGCAAGCAAGCGAGCGAACTTAATATAAAGGATTTAAAAAGCGAGGTCGTTGGGTGGCTCAATGGGTCAAGACAGCTGAGCCGGCACCATTAAGACCCTGGGTTCAGATCCAGGTTTACAACTCATAATGGCTGTACGGAGGGAATGAACCAGCAAGCCGAGACCCTGGGTTTGAATCCAAGTTTACAGCTACGTAATGACTGTTGGAGCAATGAAAAAGTAGCACTGAGGATCCTAGGTTTGAATCTGTATTTTAGTCGCTCGGGTTTAAACCGGGTTCTAAAGTGTAGCAAGTTGATAGTCTCAGACCAGACCTCAATGACTCTACAAAAACCCACATTTTACAACATGTGGATTTTCACCCAAATTGGCTAAATTTCAGCCGACACCTAAAACATTTTCGGTTTGATTGACATGCGATGAACAATATCGCATGGTCTTATTTTCAGGAGGGCCTTGCATTATCGTGTTATAATTTCTTGAACGAGTCCATGACTTGCGGGAGGAAAACAAAATGTGTGGAAAATACCCACCATGTCATCAGGTCAAGTATGCATTCAAAAGTTTTGCAGAGGTGTGCCATCACCAACTGTGTGAAAGAATGGCCCGCGAAAGCAGATATCACAGAACTACTTCTAATATCCCTTAAAGTAACCTCTAAGCAACACAGTACAAGATACACTTCACCGCACACATGGGGGCATCATAATCATCATTGGCCATGGTCAATCCACTTCTGGATGAAAGCCTCCCCAACGACACCGAGGAAACAATAATTGTTTAGTTTTATTTGTATATAATTATTAAGTAATTTGTTTACCTTTCCTATACTTGGCACGCCTATCGTGATTTTGTATTGCTCACTGTTGTAATGTTCTGACCCCGTACCCCTTACTGGACATCTCTGAAAAATAGTTTTAGAGCTCATTGGATTCCTCAAGCATAAATAAATATTCTGATAATACTCGAGGTGCTCTTATGTCTCCATCTCCCCGGTGGAAGCCCTCTTGGACTCGATTCCTTGGCTCCCACAATAATTATTCTCAAACGTCAACCCGCATTCCCCTTTCAGCGAAGTATCCTGTCCCAAGCCCGGCCTTACTTTTCCTTCAGTTTCACCGGCGTCACTGAAACCTGCACATGTTCTATAATCCACGTGTTCTTCTTTCTGTTTCGCAGTCCACTTCCTAGTGGCATCTCTGTTGCTTTTCCGCACACTCAAGTGTTTAGTTCCTTGTATTTATTCATGATCAGTCGAGGCAAGCACTCAAAAAGTTCACACACAGGAGCAAGCCACCAATATGCAGAGTGACACATGGCCAATCAGTCCTCACAGCTGTTCTTGCTGGGAGAGAGCAAGCATGGACCAATTTAGCCCAAGAGACAAAACAATTCCTACCCGGTGCCATGCACAAACAGGTCACCAACAGACAGGACACAAGAATGTGCCCTTTTTGAACTTTGTTTTGTCCTTTTGCCCCAGTTTTATTCAAATTGTGCAATCAGTGCCATGTCATGAGCTGAAAGTGTCCATTGGGAGCTTTCGTAGTAACGGCATATTTCCATGCTGTGCTCGACAAAAGCCTGCAGAAGCAGATAGCACAGAATTACTTTAAGTGACCCTATTTATCTGCACACTGCATGTTGTACTTTACCATACTCCCTACTACAGCTAAATCTAACTCACATGGCAATAGCACGACATTTTTTGTTTGCTAGATATGGAATTTGCCGACATTAAGTGACAAACAAAATTGAAACTGATGTGGCAATATTTGACTTTTAACTCATGACTGAGATGTGATTATCAACTCTACACACTTGAGAACACTGTTAAACGGGCGATCAAACCTCAGAATTCAAACCCAGAAGCTCAGTGGCGTCAGCTCAGCACTTCGACCCCTGTGCCACCGGGCTGAGATCATCAACTCGCTTCACTCAAATCACAGTCAGTTCCATGTCCCCCTTGTACCACACCACGCAACCTGTCAATGCAGCCGTTTGATCTCAGACAAGCACCAAAACAGAGGTGAGCGTTTGCTCCTTTACCTGGTGGCAAGGTGAACCCAGGAGGAAGCTGGATTGTTTGCGGTCGTGGTGCAATAATCTGCGGCGGTAGCAGCCTCTGCTGGAGTGCGAGACCCGGTCGCGCTGGACTCAGCGCCGGTCCGGGCGACGGTGGAGGCGGTACACTCACCCTCACCACGCCACTGTGCCCACCAGCCATAGGCACCATCCCCGCACCACTGGGTGCCAAGGTGGACACAGTGGCAGTCTGCTGTTGTTGCTGCTGTTGTTGCTGTGGACTGCTGATGAGGGTAATCGCGGGGCGAGAGGTCACGGCACTTATGACTGACGGCTGCCCGCTCACAACACCCCCCGGCGTGGTGCACATGAGCGGTGGGTGTCCGATGGAGTTGCTGCTGCTGCTGATGATGTTGCTGCTGCTGCTGCTTATAATACTGCTGGTGCTGACGATGCTGATTGGTGCTCCGTTGTGGCTCGCAGGTGGCCGCTGCAGAGTGATCGTGGCGAGACCGGGGGGGTTGGAAGTGGAGGTGGTGGTGTTGGGGTTGGTGAAAGTAACACTGGGGTTGGTGGAGGTGGTGATGATGGTGGTGGTGGCGGTGATGATGGGGTTGGGTGCGATGAGGTTGGGGGTGACGTTAGGGTTGAGGTTGGTGGTGACATTGAAGTTCATCCGCCCTGAGTCCAACGCAACCACCGACATAGCCACACCATTGTTGCTGTTGCCACCGCTGTTAATGCTCGAGGTCCTTGCAGGTGAAACTACACCGACTCCACCACAGACTCCACCACCGACAACGACGCCTCCTCCTGCTCCTCCTGCCCCAGTGGGTGTCCCGTACACGGAGCCCCCGTTCACCGGTGTTCGACCCAAAGGTAGCACGGGAACATCGGCGTGGTTGGACAGCGAGGAGATGGAGGTGGTGGATGATGATGGTGATGGTGATGCAGGGGCCGAAACGGACGATGACTGCGATGATAACGAGGAAGAGGAACAGGTGGATGCAGCTGCCGATAACGATGACTGTGTCAATGATGATGCTTGCGCTAATGATGTTGACGGTGATGAAAGTAATGCCGCTGCTCCTGCTGATGATGATGACGACGACGACGATGCTGCTACTGCTGCTGATGATGATGACAGTGAAGACGTTGATGATGATAATGATGATGCCGACGATCCCGATAACGAAGACGGTAAAGCTGCCGCCACCGATGCTGATGATAACGATGCTGATGATGTACCGACACTCACACCCGAAGCCACCACTCCGCCGTGTCTCTGGCAATTCGTCCCGCCGAGCTGCTGCTGCTGCTGTTGCAGCTGCTGCAGCTGCTGATACTGCTGCGGTTGTTGCTGTTGTTGTTGCAAGAGTAAAATTCCCGCCGCAGCCGTTCGCTTCATGGGTGGGCCTAGCGTCCCGGACCGAGCCTCGGCCTCGCCTAAATCCGACGCCGCCGTTTTTGAGGCGCCTCCGCCCGCGGCAGCCGCGGCTCCGAGCCGGCCCCCTCCTCGGTCCGGCAGCTGTTGTTGCTGCTGCTGCTGTGGCTGCTGCTGTTGTTGCTGCTGTGCGTGGCTGTTGAGCACAGTGGGCCGCTGTCGCGAGAGGCGCGACTCGAGCGAGCCCACCAGCTCGCTCACCGCCTTCTCGTCCACGTCCGTCGTGAACATCTCCAGCAGAGGGTCGCTCGCGTTCGCCATCTTGTGTTGGGCGATCCCGGGGGGCGGGGGGTGGGGGCTGTGTGGGGGGGGAGGGGGAGGGGTGGAGTGGGGCGGGGCCAAGAACGATGGGGGCTGTATGGGGGGGTGGGGGCTGTGGGGGGGGAGGGGTTGAGTGGGGCGGGGCGAAGAACGATGGGGGGGGTGGGGGCTGTGTGGGGGAGGGGAAGGGGTGGAGTGGGGCGGGGCCAAGAACGATGGGGGGGGTGGGGGCTGTGTGGGGGGGTGGGGGCTGTGTGGGGGGAGGGGGAGGGGTGGAGCGGGGCGAAGAACGATGGGGGGGTGGGGGCTGTGTGGTGGGGTGGGGGCTGTGTGGGGAGGGGAGGGGCTGTGTGGGGGGGGGAGGGGCTGTGTGGGGGGGGAGGGGCTGTGTGGGGAGGGGGCTGTGTGGGGGGGGGGCTGTGTGGGGGGGGGAGGGGCTGTGTGGGGTGGGGCTGCGTGGGGAGGGGCTGTGTGGGGGGGGGGCTGTGTGGGGGGGGAGGGGCTGTGTGGGGAGGGGTTGAGTGGGGTGGGGCGGAGAACGGCGATGGGGGGTGGGGGGTATGCGGGGGGTGGGGGCTGTGAGGGGTGGGGGAGGGGCTGTGTGGGGGGTGGGGGCTGTGAGGGGTGGGGCGGGGGATATGCGGGGGGAGGGGTGGAGTGGAGCGAAGAACGGCGATGGGAGGGGTAGGGTGTGCGGGGGGCTGTGGGGGTGGGGGCTGTGTGGGGGAGGGGTGGAGTGGGGCGGGGCGCAGAACGATGGGGGGGTGGGGGTATGCGGGGGGTGGGGGCTGTGTGGGGGGAGGGGTGGAGTGGGGCGGGGCGCAGAACGGCGGCGGGGGGTGGAGCTGTGAGGGGTGGGGGAGGGGCTGTGTGGGGGGTGGGGGCTGTGAGGGGTGGGGCGGGGGATATGCGGGAGGGGTGGGGTGGAGTGGGGCGGGGCGGAGAACGGCGATGGGAGGGGCAGGGTGTGCGGGGGGCTGTGGGGGTGGGGGGTGGGGTGGAGGGGTGTGCGGGGGGTGGGGGCTATGTGGGGTGGAGGGGGGTGGGGGCTGTGGGGAAAGGAGCTGTGGGAGATGTGGTGGGGGGAGATGAGCGGAGGGGGGGCAGGGGGAGTATTGGACGGATGGGGGAAGAGATGGGTGGCAATAGGGGAATGTAAGGAGTGGAAGGGAATGAAGATGTGGGGGTGCAGGGTGGAGGGGGGGGTGCAAGAAGAGGGGAGGGGCTGTGGGGGGTACAAGGTGATAAAGTGATGAGGGTGGCTGCTGAGGGAGTGTTGAGGGCTTAGGAAAATATGAGGGAGGGTGGCGGGGCCGTGGGGTGAAGAGGAGAGGTGTGAAGGGCTCGGCGGGAAAGGGGACGTGGATTGTGTAAGCTGAGGGGAGGGGCTGTGGGGGTGTGAGGGGAGGGGCTGTGGGGGTGTAAGCTGAGGGGAGGGGCTATGGGGGTGTGAGGGGCGGGGAGGGGCTATGGGGGTGTGAGGGGAGGGGCTGTGGGGGTGTAAGCTGAGGGGAGGGGCTATGGGGGTGTGAGGGGAGGGGCTATGGGGGTGGAAGCTGAGGGGAGGGGCTATGGGGGTGTGAGGGGAGGGGCTATGGGGGTGTAAGCTGAGGGGAGGGGCTATGGGGGTGTGAGGGGAGGGGCTGTGGGGGTGTGAGGGGAGGGGAGGGGCTGGGGGGGTGTAAGCTGAGGGGAGGGGCTGTGGGGGTGTAAGCTGAGGGGAGGGGCTATGGGGGTGTAAGCTGAGGGGAGGGGCTGTGGGGGTGTAAGCTGAGGGGAGGGGCTGTGGGGGTGTAAGCTGAGGGGAGGGGCTATGGGGGTGTGAGGGGAGGGGCTATGGGGGTGTAAGCTGAGGGGAGGGGTGTGTGGGGTGTAAGCAGAGGGGAGGGGCTATGGGGGTGTGAGGGGCGGGGAGGGGCTGTGGAGGGTGTAAGCTGAGGGGAGGGGTGTGGGGGTGTAAGCAGAGGGGAGGGCTATGGGGGTGTAAGCTGAGGGGAGGGGCTGTGGGGGTGTAAGCTGAGGGGAGGGGCTGTGGGGGTGTAAGCTGAGGGGAGGGGCTATGGGGGTGTAAGCTGAGGGGAGGGGCTGTGGGGGTGTAAGCTGAGGGGAGGGGCTGTGGGGGTGTAAGCTGAGGGGAGGGGCTATGGGGGTGTGAGGGGAGGGGCTATGGGGGTGTAAGCTGAGGGGAGGGGTGTGTGGGGTGTAAGCAGAGGGGAGGGGCTATGGGGGTGTGAGGGGCGGGGAGGGGCTGTGGGGGTGTAAGCTGAGGGGAGGGGCTGTGGGGGTGTAAGCTGAGGGGAGGGGCTATGGGGGGTGTAAGCTGAGGGGAGGGTTTGTAGGGAGGGGCTGCAAGAACGGGGATCAATTTGAATGTGGTTATAATCGATGCTTAAGCTCACACACTAAATGCATCTTATGCAAATCGATTACTATTTAGCAAATTACTGTATGTGCAAATTCCACCATGAGCCGAATGGAGAAACGTGCGTTTAGAGTATTTGGCTGCTATCAATTCCCACGTGATAAGCCAACTTAGTTTGTGGCCAGGTCGCTTATGAAAAAGAAGCTATTAACTCTGCGGGTTTTACCTGGTAAAATAAAAAAATAAAATGTGTTTAGTTTAACTTTTTTATTGATTTGTATTTTTTTTTGCAACGTTCTGACCCAACCCGACTGATTCTGGGATGCACAACTCAAGAATTAATTAACGTAAAATGTTCAGGATGAGAATGGGAAAATAATCCTGAAATATGACCATGCATGAAGACAGTTGAACACCTATAGCAGGCTTTCGTGACCAATAGTATCCATAATACAGGGGTTTTAGTTTAGATCGCGTAAATATAAATGCGTCGTTAAACCCGCCATTTAGTAAGGGGTTTTCACGTACACAGAACATGCCAATTCGTTACTAGTACAGCACTTACCGGTGTGTTGGAGAGCCAAGCCACAACATTTACAATCTGAGTACGACGTTTCGCCAGAAATTACAACCAGCTTCATCAGGCGACAGACAGATTTGTGGAGAACTTGGACTTATATTGTAAATGTTGTGGCTTGGCTCTCCAACACTGGTTAGTGCTGTACTCGTGACGAATTGGGACGCTTTGTTCATGCGACAAACCTTACTAATTGGCTGTGTCGGGTGGTGGCGGGTTTAACGACACATTTAATTTACACGATCTAACCCAAAGAAAATAAAACTGGATTCTGGAAAATATAGTTCGCTCGCGTTTCCCAATGGGGTATTATTGCTATGTTTCCTGAGTTGCAGTTGTAGCATCCCTTTTTTAAATCCTTTATATTAAGTTCGCTTGCTTGCTGAGGACCGTGCAAATCTTTCGGTCGTTTTTTAACCCACTTCCCGTGATCCAATCGAGCTGACATTTTCCACACAGGCTCGTTGTGCGTGACAATTAATGTTCGTGAAAATTTTTTTCCAAAATTTTACACTTTTTAGGACAAAAATATTATATTTATTACCAATTGCTTAATGGTGCAATGCAATCATCTGACCCATAGGTGGCAGCCATCTCAAGCCAGAGGACGAGAGTACTCTAGCCGCCACGCATATAAAGGATTTATAGTGAAAACTTTGTTTTTACTGGTTATACTTAATACATTTGTATTTCAACACCAATGCCTTATTGCGCGAATGGACTTTTCACAAGCTCATTCTAGATTTCAGCAGTGTGGCTATTTTGTTGTGAGTGCCACCATCCGTTTTGGCGGCAATCGTTGAGCAATCTTCTTGGTTCTTTCGGTAAAGTCACGTAGAATGGAAATAATAAAATAATAAAAATAAAACATAATAAAATAATTCTCACAACGTTTCGGCCACAACGTAAGCAGCCGTCCTCAGGTGAAGAACAGGTCGCTCCAAGCCTGGGGTTGTTTCATTCAGTCTCTGTCTTCTCGACAGACCTGTTCTTCACCTGAGGACGGCTGCTTGCGTTGTGGCCGAAACGTCGTGAGAATTATTTTATTATGTTTTATTTTTATTATTTTATTATTTCCTATCTACGTGACTTTACCGAAAGAACCAAGAAGATTAATCCCTGCAGTCACGAACGCTTTAAATCGTTGAGCAATCATTGAAAAATATGTTATTAACCAAGTAAAATTTAACAGTTCATCGTTGTTCCATATTCTTTACCGGATACTAGTCTATTTTACCGAGTTAATTACATCCTCAGCGCTCAGCAGTTTGGCTATTTTGTTGTGAGTGCCACCATCCGTTCTGGGGGCAATCGGTCTATCCTCACTATCCCCTCCTCACGCACCTACAGCCCCCCCCCCCCCCCACCATGCCCAGTATAAACCCCTTGACTCCGGCTTCACTCCCACTTCAATAAAGTTTCTTGCTGTGGTTGTCACACCTGATGGTGATTGCTTGTGTTGTAATCGAAATGTCGTGATTTTTTTAATCTTTTATTTTTTATTTTCTTTACCTACGTGACTTTACCGAAAGAACCAAGAGTATTTTCACAAGCTGTTTGCGCAGACACGAAATTTCACAATCACGGAATGATGATGCTTCTTCAAGTATTCTTATACGGTATTTAAAACATGGTGATAAAATAATAAAAAACGGTGATAAAATGTAAATATATTTGGAGAATTGCAGAACCCGTGCGCTTATTGGTCACGATTTTTTTGGACAAATTTGTTGAATGTTTTTTCTATTGTTATGAATCAATATCGGCTGCGAAAACCTACATCTTAAAACGTCGACGTTTTAAAGTCTTACATGAACAATACTGTGATTGTGTAATGACGTCACTTGCTCATGATTATTAGTGAGGGGGGGGGGGTCCATTTGGAGGACGTCACCTGCTCATGAATATTAATGAGGGAGCAGGTCGATGTGGAGTGACGTCACGAGCGTTAAGGACATACATTGCTGGGTGATTTTAGTCGGTATGTAAACAAAAACTTTGCTCTTTTAAATCCTTTATATTAAGTTCACTTGCTTGCGTGCTTGCTTGCTTGCTTACGACCGTGCAAATCTTTCGGTCGTTTTTTAACCCACTTCCCGTGATCCACACAGACTCGTTGTGCGTGACAATTAATGTTTGTGAAAAATGTTTTCCAAAATTTTACACTTTTTAGGACAAAAATATGATATTTAATTACCAATTGCTTAATGCTGGCATGCAATCATCTGACCCATAGGTGGCAGCCATCTCAAGCCAGAGGACGAGAGGACTCTAGCCGCCACGCATATAAAGGATTTATAGTGAAAAACTTTGTTTTTACGGGTTAATTTTTTCACCAATGGGTTTGAAGTGAAGGATGGTGGCAAATGTTGTCTTGTTAAATTATGCCTTTAAAACTGAAAACTACTTACCTGCAATACCTCTATTTAAATAGACTATAGAAAAAAATGTTACACCCCTCTGTCCTCTTATCCACATTGATACGGGCGGTATGTGGGGACTATGGCTTAACCGCAAAAAAAACTATCTGCACAGATACATACGGACAAGAGAAGTATTTATACTCTTAGGTTTTTTCGGTAAAGTTACGGTAGGTAAAAAATCAAATTAAAATTAATAAAAGTGTGCTGTGACGGTTCCACCTGAAGACGGAAGCTTGTGTTGCCTCCGAAACGTGATTTTTTAAAGTTATTATTTTTACTTTTATTAATTTTAATTTATTTTTATTTTTTACCTATGTGACTTTACCGAAAAAACCTAAGAGTTTGAATCCTTGCAGTCACGAAAGCTTCAAATCTAGAAGAAAAAGACAAGTATTATCAAACAGGAGGAATAAACGGTGCAGCGCATCTCATCTGTTAAATATCTACAGATAATAGGATTGTCATCGATTGATCCTGGCTGCAGACATTGGTAGGTCACAAATATGAATGTGGCTAAGAGAGCAGTTTCACTGTATTAGGGGCGTCCATAAATGACGTCACGCACCTAGGGGTGGGGGGGGGTCAGACGTTTGTGACGATGTGTGACGAGGGGGGGGGGGGTTGAGAAATGTGACGTCAGATCAAAATGCGAAACTTTAAATAAATATAGACAACACGTTCTACTTAATTAAATAGACTTTATAAAAAAATATTTTCTCCGACAACATCAGAGTGCAGCGCCACATCAAATACGCACTACAATGACAATAGTTTAAAGCGATTTGAAGCATCTGATTTTTTTTTTGGGGGGGGGGGGGGGCAGAGCTTTGTGACGTCATTTGAGGGGGGGTCTGACTTTTTGTGACGTCGTGTGACGAAGCGGGGGGGGGGGTCAAAAATTGTCCAAAATCGCGTGACGTCATTTATGGACGGCCCCTTATGCATACCGTTATGCATACCGTTATGACAACTAAAGGACTTAATGTGTCGGCAGTTTGAGCAGCATTCGCCCTCGCCGCTGCGCTTGGACACGACGCGAATCGATTAATCGATCTAATATGACGGGTAATCGATTAATCGATCAGTGTCAATCAGACAACGGGAGAATGGGGTTGTCGCTGCGAGGGAGGCTCTAACTGCGCATGCGCTAGGGGGAGGGGGCACTTGGGGTGGGGGGAGGTAGATGGCGGGTTTCGAGCTCGCAGTGCGCATGCGTCAAGAGTTGGGGCAGCGGTGGGGGGGCGTTTGAGCTTTGGGGGAGGGCAGGGGCTAAGCCGCGCAGTGCGCATGCGCTGAGGGGAGGGGCAGTGGGCGTTTAGGTAGGGGTGGGGCGTTGTGTGTCTGAGGAATCGATGATAATTATTCGGTACACGTAGAACATTCGATTCCCACACAATCTACATACAGGGACTCCTCTACTTACGAACATTCGACTTGCGAACTTTCAGAGATACGAACAAACCTGTCCGTATGTGAAGAACCAGTGGCATCTACATCTACAAAACGTGAAGAACCAGTGGCATCTACATCTACAGAACGTGAAGAACCAGTGGCATCTACATCTACAGAATGTGAAGAACCAGTGGCATCTACATCTACAGAATGTGAAGAACCAGTGGCATCTACATCTACAAAACGTGAAGAACCAGTGGCATCTACATCTACAGAACGTGAAGAACCAGTGGCATCTACATTTACAGAACGTGAAGAACCAGTGGCATCTACATGTACAGAACGTGAAGAACCAGTAGCATCCACATCTGCAGAACGTGAAGAACCAGTGGCATCAACATCTGCAGAACGTGAAGAACCAGTGGAATCTACATCTGGAGAACGTGAAGAACCAGTGGCATCTACATCTGCAGGTGAATAACCAGTGGCATGGACATCTGCAGAACGTCAAGGACCAGTGGCATCTACATCTACAGAACGTGAAGAACCAGTGGTATCTACATCTGCAGAACGTGAAGAACCAGTGGTATCTACATCTGCAGAACGTGAAGAACCAGTGGTATCTACATCTGCAGAACGTGAGGAACCAGTGGCATCTACATCTGCAGGTGAAGAACCAGTGGCATCTACATCTGCAGAACGTGAAGAACCAGTGGCATCTACATCTGCAGAACGTGAAGAACCAGTGGCATCTACATCTGCAGAACATGAAGAACCAGTGGCATCTACATTCGCAGAACATGAAGAACCAGTGGCATCTACATCTACAGAACGTGAATAACCAGTGGCATCTACAGAACGTGAGAAACCAGTGGCATCTACATCTACAGGAGATAATACAACTTTTAAAGCCATAATGTGTTTGGAATGGACAGGAGTAAAATTGGACTTATGAACAAATCGACTTACGAACATACCTCTGGAATTTCAAGGACAGTGCATAACATCAGAGTTGTGTTTTTGTTTGCATTCCGACCACAGGTGTTGTGGTCAACGCAAACATGACTCCTTGTAAAAAAGGTGTCAGTTTTGTTGCCAGATAAAAGGGTAAATAAGTATAACCCGTAAGAACAAAGTTTTTCACTCTAAATCCTTTATATGCGTGGCGGCTAGAGTCCTTTCGTCTTCTGGCTTGAGATGGCTGCCACCTATGGGTCAGATGATTGCATTGCACCATTAAGCAATTGGTAATTAAATATAATATTTTTGTCCTAAAAAGTGTAACATTTTGGAAAAAAAATTTCACGAACATTAATTGCCACGCACAACGAGTCTGTGTGGAAAATGTCAGCTCGATTGGATCACGGGAAGTTGGTTAAAAAACGACCGAAAGATTTGCACGGTCCTAAGCAAGCAAGCGAACTTAATATAAAGGATAAAACGTTTTTCACTCTAAATCCTTTATATGCGTGGCGGCTAGAGTCCTCTCGTCCTCTGGCTTGGGATGGCTGCCACCTATGGGTCAGATGATTGTCTGCAAGTATTAAGCAATTGGTAATTAAATATTTAATTTGTTTTCCATAAACAGTGTAAAATTTTGGAAAAAAGTTTTCACGAACATTAATTGTCTCGCACAACGAGTCTCTGTGCAAAATGTCAGCTCGATTGGATCACGGGAAGTGGGTTAAAAAACGACCGAGAGATTTGCACGGTCCTAAGCAAGCAAGCAAGCACGCAAGCACGCACGCAAGCAAGCGAACTTAATATAAAGGATTTAAAAAGAAGTGAATACCTCAGTGGGCTTCACGTGGTAAGATACAAAACATCTTTTAATTTTCGATTTGAAGCTTTCGTGACTGCAGGGATTCATCTTCTTGGTTCTTTTGGTAAAGTCACGTAGAATGACCGAAACGTCGTGAGAATGATTTTATTATGTTATATATTTATTATTTTATTACTTCTATTCTACGTGACTTTAGCGAAAGAACCAAGAAGATCTTTTAATTTTATTTGTAGGTTTTTTGTGAAGTGATCTGTTTACCTTCCCTACACTTTGCACTCCCTATGGGGCCGTCCATAAATGACGTCACGCACCTAGAGGGGGGGGGGGGGGTCAGACATTTGTGACGATGTGTGACGAGGGGGGGGGGGTGAGAAATGTGACGTCACATCAAAATGCGCAACTTTAAATAAATATAGACAACACGTTCCACCTAATTAAATATACTTTTTAAATCCTTTATATTAAGTTCACTTGCGTGCTTGCTTGCGCGCTTACGACCGTGCAAACCTTTCGGTCGTTTTTTAACCCACTTCCCGTGATCCAATCGAGCTGACATTTTGCACACAGGACTCGTTGTGCGTGACAATAATTTTCGTGAAAAAATTCAAAATTTTTACACTTTTTTGGGAAAAATAAATTATTTAATTACCAATTGCTTAATGGTGGCATGCAATCATCTGACCCATAGGTGGCAGCCATCTCAAGCCAGAGGACGAGAGGACTCTAGCTGCCACGCATATAAAGGATTTATAGTGAAAAACTTAGTTTTTACGGGTAAATTTTTTAACAAATGTTTTCTCCTACAACATCACAGTGCAGCGGCACATTAAATACGCGCTCCAATGACAATAGTTTAAAGCGAATTGAAGCATGTTTTATTTTGGGGGGGGCAGAGCTTTGTGACGTCATATTTGAGGGGGGGGGTCTGACTTTTGTGACGCCGTGTGACGATGGGGGGGGGGGGGGGGGGGAGGCCAAATCACCTGCCCACGACTCCCTGGAGCCAGCACTTGCAGCGCTGCGCCTTCACTTAAAAACAATCGATCTCACGTGCCGACTCCGTGTCTGCCGAATCGATGACCGATTCTCGATTCGCCATGCATCCGAATCGCCGCCACGCAACTGGATAACATCCGCGTTTGGTAATCGATCCGGGTACGAATCGACATGACGATTCTATATCCCCCCCCCCTCCATCAGCGACTACCGCGAGAGAATCGATACAGCGTCAGATCGATTCGATTCCGGAGGTTGCGTGTCAAAATCCGGACGTCCTTGGTCCCGCCGCGGCAATGGCGAAAGCGCCGCGCGTGTCGCTGCTGCTGCCCACGTACAACGAGCGGGAGAACCTGCCCATCGTGCTGTGGCTCATCGACCAGAGCCTCACCCAGAGGTGAGCCACGGCTCACGATGGCTGAGGTGGTGGTCGCGGTGGTGGTGGTGGTGGTTGTGGTGGTGGTTGTTGTGGTGGCGGTGGTTGTGGCGGTGGTTGTGGTTGTGGCGGTGGTTGTGGTGGCGGTTGTTGTGGTGGCGGTGGTTGTGGTTGTGGCGGTGGTTGTGGTTGTGGCGGTGGTTGTGGTGGTGGCGGTGGTTGTGGTGATTGTGGTGGTTGTGGTTGTGGCGGTGGTGGTGGTGGTTGTGGTGATTGTGGTGATTGTGGCGGTGGTGGCGGCGGTTGTGGCGGTGGTTGTGGTGGTGGTGATTGTGGTGGTGGCGGCGGTGATTGTTGTGGTGGTTGTGGCGGTGGTTGTGGTGGTTGTGGTGGCGGTGGTTGTGGCGGTGGTTGTGGCGGTGGTTGTGGTGGTGGTATGGGGAGCGTTGGTTGTGGTGGCGGTGGTTGTGGCGGTTGTGGTGGCGGTGGTTGTGGCGGTGGTTGTGGCGGTGGTTGTGGCGGTGGTTGTGGCGGTGGTTGTGGTGGCGGTGGTTGTGGTGGTGGTATGGGGAGCGTTGGTTGTGGTGGCGGTGGTTGTGGTGGTTGTGGTGGCGGTGGTTGTGGCGGTGGTATGGGGAGCGTTGGTTGTGGTGGCGGCGGTGGTGGTTGTGGCGGTGGTGGTGGCGATGGTGGTGGCGATGGTTGCGGTGACGGTGGTGGTTGTTGTGGTGGTGTTGGTATGGGGAGCGGTGAAGGACGCTGCTGCTGCTGCTGAGCAGTTGGAGGCAGTCGCCCTCCAGCAGCAACGACAGCGGAGGGCAGAGGAGCGACGCTCACAACAACGAGCTGAGCGCCGGGTGGATACAACGAGGGCTGAATATAGAGGTCATCTCAGCCGGCCAACCCATGGCACCTGCAGGGTCTGTCCCGTGACCCGCTCCGTGTCGGCGAGCCTTGGACAATTCACGTGGCCGCCCCAAAGTGCACCTAGCCTGGCACAGGCGCCGTGGTGACGTCACAATCACTTTAAGTGGCGAATGGAGCTTGGCTTTTTAATATTTTTGGTGGCCTCTTGGAGTTTGGTGGTCGTTGTTGTGGCCACAGCGATGGCACTCGATCTGGAAAAAAGACGCTTTGTGGAGATGGAGCGATGCAATCAGTGGGCTGAGTGGTGGAATATTGCAGGTCGCAGGGACAATGAGTGGATAGACAATGAATGGCTCCTGCCCGTGAGGGTGGGGTGGGGCTGGGTGGGGAGGGGCTGGTCACCCTGTGGTGCCCTTATAAAACTCAACGTTTAACCTACTCACGCCGGCTTGTGCCCGCCCTCACAGTCGGGCAAATTTGCGGAATACACCACGCCGCCGTTGACCCTACAGGCCATTGACCGAGCAACCCAACGTTCCTACCAGCTCCCTCCGCAGGAATGTGTTACGAGACAGCTTTTCTTAGAGCATAGTCTCACATGGCCTCATCTGGTCCAACACCATGTGAGACTAGGCTCTAAGAAAAGCTGTCTCGGGTGTGGACCAATCAATTTCAAGGACAGTGCATATCATTATCAGAGTTGTGTTTTGTGTTTGCATTCCGACCGCAGGTATTGTGGTCAATGCAAACATGACTCCTTGTAAAATAAAAAAGGTGTCAGTTTTGTTGCCAGATAGAAGGGTAAAAAGCCAATTATCACTGTGATGTGGTTTATTATTTGGTTACGAGCCGCTTGCCCGTCCAAGGACGACGGGTGTATTGCATAAATCTGAAACTTGCAAGCGAAAAGCAGCCCGCGACGTGATATATTATTTTATTACCTTTTTAAAATAATAAAACGATAATAATATGCATATGTTTTACCTTTTTTTTATAATAAAATATTATTTTACATTTTTAAAAGTAAAATAATACTATTATTTTTATTATTATGTTTCCCTTTTTAATAATAAAGTAATAATATTATTTTGATTATTATTTTTTTACCCTTTTTAAAAATAAAATAATAATATTCTTTTTTCCCGTGACGTGATATATTCATTGCATCAATTCGTGTGCAATTCGTAAGGGCGCGGTGACACAGACCTATTTCATTTTAAGGTTATAATCCCTTGGTCATCGTGACGTCCTTTTTACTTTGATGTCTCTACAGCGTTACGGAGACCACGTGACGTGAGGGTTCTGCCTTTGTAGTGAGGGCTGTGAGTTGACCCCGAGGAGGGGGGAGGAGGCGCCTCGCCCCCCCATGTGGAGTGACGTCACCTGCTAATTATTATTAATGGAGGGGGTATCCATTTGGATGACGTCACGAAACGTGGTTTTTGTTTTTAATTTTATTTTTATTAATGAAATAACCAGAATAAGTCTACATTATAGACTGCCAGTACGCTCACTCAGGTTAAGAACCAGGCTACAGTCAACATTATAGACTGCCAGTACACTCACCGAGGTTAAGAACCAGGCTACAGTCTACATTATAGACTGCCAGTACGCTCACTCGGGTTAAGAACCAGGCTACAGTCTACATTATAGATTGCCAATATGCTCACCGAGGTTAATAACCAGGCTACAGTCTACATGATAGACTGCCAGTACGCTCACCGAGGTTAAGAACCAGGCTACAGTCTACATTATAGACTGCCAGTACACTCACCAAACTTAAGAACCAGGCTACAGTCTACATATGATAGACTGCCAGATACACTCACTCCAATAAAGAACCAGGCTCCAGTCTACATAAGTGTTTTTTTTATTATTTTTATTATTTGGATTAACTTTATTATTTTTCTTTCTATGTGACTTTACCGAAAGAACCAAAGAATAGAACGTCACCTGTTCATGATTATTAATGAGGGGGGCTGGTCGACGTGGAGTGACGTCACGCGCGTTACACACAGACATTCTTGGGTAGATAATGGGCGGCGGGGAGGGGGTTCGTAGCCTTGCTTCCATTGAGCTCTATCCATGATATTTAGTTCAGAACTTGATCATCCATGTGCAGTGTTAGTCTATGGGCAGTGTTAGTCTATGGGCAATGTTAGTCTATGTGCAATGTTAGTCTATGGGCAATGTTAGTCTATGTGCAATGTTAGTCTATGTGCAATGTAAGTCTATGTGCAATGTTAGTATGTGCAATGTTAGTCTATGGGCAATGTTAGCCTATGGGCAATGTTAGTCTATGTGCAATGTAAGTCTATGGGCAATGTTAGTCTATGGGCAATGTTAGTCTATGTGCAATGTTAGTCTATGTGCAATGTAAGTCTATGTGCAATGTTAGTATGTGCAATGTTAGTCTATGGGCAATGTTAGCCTATGGGCAATGTTAGTCTATGTGCAATGTAAGTCTATGGGCAATGTTAGTCTATGGGCAATGTTAGTCTATGAGTAATGTAAGTCTATGGGCAATGTTAGTCTATCGGCAATGTTAGTCTATGGGCAATGTTAGTATGTGCAATGTTAGTCTATTTGGAATGTAAGTCTATCTCTGTATTTACCAGATCCTTTCGAGAAGACGTCGGTGATTGTGGCCAATTCTTTCCATGCCAGTTTCTCAAGTACTCCCCCTTGCATCCAAATGCTCAAATTGCTTGTGCGCTTAATTCGCTGTCTTCCCCGGCTTCTTGTAGCACCCGTAATTTCCCCCCAGTCAAAACATTACATTCAGTTCAATAATTAAGATTGGCAATGGGAGTTGCTGCTCCATCCAGTCTCTCTCCGTGCGCACCGTCTCTCTCCCCGTTCCACAGTGGCCTCTCCTACGAGGTGATCGTCATCGACGATGGCAGTCCAGACGGAACGCTCAAGGTGGCCCGGCAGCTCCAGGACATCTACGGAGCCCACAAAATTGTGAGCGCCGCGTTCCTTTTCAAAAAAAACTTTAAACTCTAAAACTCAAGATTTTTATTTTAGCAGGTAAGGCCCCCACCGAGCTGATTTAGCTCCTTTTTAAATCCTTTATATTAAGTTCGCGTGCTTGCGTGCGTGCGTGCTTGCTTGCTTACGATCGTGCAAACCTTTTGGTCGTTTTTTAACCCACTTCTCGTGATCCAATCAAGCTGACATTTTGCACATATACTCGTTGTGCGAGACAATTAATGTTCGTGAAAATTTTTTTTCCAAAATTTTACACTGTTTAGGGAAAACAAATTAAATATTTAATTACCAATTGTTTAATACTGCAGACAATCATCTGACCCATAGGTGGCAGCCATCTCAAGCCAGAGGACGAGAGGACTCTAGCCGCCACGCATATAAAGGATTTAGAGTGAAAAACTTTGTTTTTACGGGTTATACTTATTCATAAGTGACCTGGCCACAAATGATAGCTCGCCGAAGTGGCTTATCATATTGAAATTTATAGCAGCCAAATGCTCTTAAGGGCATTTTGTTGATTCTAAATGTGGCGGGCAAAAACTGGTGAGACTAGGCCTTAAAGAAGGCTGTCTCTGATCTAGGCCAATCAGTTTCAAAAACAACGCCATATCGGAGCATGTTTGTTTGTTCACCACCAGTACATGTGGTTAATGCAGCCATGATTCCTTGCGAAAAGGTTTATATTCGGTGTTTGAACATCTTATAACACCTGTTTTATTGCCAGAAAGGGTAAAACCTATTGTTATTTTTCATACATTGATACTGGCAACGAAAAGGTGCCATGGTAGAGCCTCCCAGTTGGCACCTCTTGACGTGTTTCATCCTTTGTCTCTCTCTTCCTGCAGGTGTTGAAGCCAAGAGAACGGAAGCTGGGATTGGGTGAGATTTTCTTTCTTCGTTAAGAGGCGACTTTCCATACCGTGTCAACCCACACGGTTTACCCCGTATTCTTGTACAGAGAAATTGAGTTTTCGGGTCCATACGGCGTGCAGACGTTTCAATACGGGCAAGGAAAAAATAACAATTGTCTATTTGTTTGTGTTGACTTAAAGCTTCCGTGACTGCAGGAATTCATATTCTTTGGGTCTTTCGGTAAAGTCACGTAGATAGGTTCAAAGAAAATAACAAAAAACTACGACGATCGTCATCAGGAAAAGGGGGTTAGCTTCTAAAGGCAAACTGTTTATAGAGGTGTAGAGAAGTTCCCACGGACGTACTCGGAGACAGAGGTATGTTAAGGGCTTCCGCCAGGGTTTATTAAAGCTGTTACAATAATACACAGGGTACACAACTCGCAGGGGCTAGGGGTCCTACTCTGAGTCCGGGTCCCTGCCGGCTAGCTCCGGTCTCTCTCTCGTGTCGGATCGTGGAGTCTGCCGACTCCACCGACCGGAGAGAAAAGCACCTCTATCGGCTACCACCGGCTTCTCCGCAGACTCACCATTCGATCCATCTCTACCCCTGGTTCCCTCTTCACCCTGCTTACTCTACCCATTCCCACAGTGACCCCACTTACGTCACGGGGTCTCCCTTAAGTACCCTAGGAGACGTGACGTCGCACTGAACGGCACACCTGACGTCACGTCCCCATTTTTAAATCCTTTATATTAAGTTCACTTGCCTGCTTGATTGCGCGCTTACGACCGTGCAAATCTTTCGGTCATTTTTTAACCCACTTCCCGTGATCCAATCGAGCTGACATTTTGCACACAGACTCGTTGTGCGTGACAATTTATTTTCGTGAAAAAAAATTCCTAAATTTTACACTTTTTAGGATTTTTATTTATTTAATTACCAATTGCTTAATGGTGGCAGGCAATCATCTGACCCATAGGTGGCAGCCATCTCAAGCCAGAGGACGAGAGGACTCTAGCCGCCACGCATATAAAGGATTTATAGTGAAAAACTTTGTTTTTACGGGTTAGTTTTTACTCCTCTACAAAGGTTTTGAAATGGGCGTAGCCCAAATGTCAGCAGCATGGGCAGGGCAGCTAATGTTAATGTAAGTGGTGGGCAGCAACCACGACGGTGGTGGGTTTTCCACCAATTAAAGGGCTGCCAGGTAAAAAATGTGCATGTTAGCCATCCATATATACTGATGACGATTGCTAGTGTTGCGATCGAAACGTCGTAGTTTTTTGTTATTTTCTTTGAACCTATCTACGTGACTTTACCGAAAGACCCATATAATATTTGTTTGTGTTTCTCGTTTGTGATTGGGACTGTCTGTAATAAGGTCTGTAATAAGGTAGGCACTGATAAGAGGTTGACAGGTTTGCTCTTCGATCAACCGAAGGGAAAACCCAAATATATAATCAGTCGAATCAACAAAAACGTCACAAAACCAATTTGAAAGAAATCGCAAAAGGGAATCGGGCAGGGGGCATCATCTCAGGAGGGACCCCTCATTTTACTGCCGCTCCACTCCACCGCTCGTCTGAACCACCATCCCTTCTAGCCATGACGTGTGCTGCCCAAGCCACACTTTTACTTAACACTCGTACGTACGTGTGTACGTTGAACTTCTTTCGCACCGTACCGAGAATGAGGTGCGGGGGAAGGACAACAACTAACACAAAACAATTTCAAATAAATGAGTTCTCATTCTAGATTCAAAAGTGCATGGCTCCAGTGGCTTCCTCATAGCTCCAGTAGCTTCTTGAGTACATACGTATGTTGAACTTCTTTCACACCGTACGTAGTCAACCGTGCGGGGAAAGGACAATAAACTAAACAATAAAAAGCGGTTCTAAAGAAATTAACTTTCAATCTAGACGATTTAAAAGTGCACAGCTCCCAGTAGCTTCCTAATATCAGAAGGAAGAGCGTTCCAGACAGCCGCAGAAGCGCATCTGAAAGCGCGCTACGCAGTGACCGTCTTTGTTCGATGTCTAGCCAAAAGCCGCCGCTGCGAGGCTCGGCAAGGTGCCTTTGACGAGATACGCAAGTTTGAGACGCGTCTCTAACCTGCGTATATGTTCTCGAATCCGCGTGTTGCTCTGGCCCGTGAACGATACTGATGGTGTTGTGTGTTTACATGCAGGCACTGCGTATATACATGGCATGAAGTACGCCAAGGGAGAGTTCATCGTCATCATGGATGCCGACCTGTCGCACCACGTAAGTGCTCGGTCGTTCATTCACCCACTACTCATCCGTTCATTCTCACATTCGTGCGTTCATCGGTTATTGCCCAGCAGCAGTTTGGCGGGCAAAATAATGACAATATAACTCCAACACTCATCTTAACTAGAAATTTTACCCCAACTCTCGTCCTGATTGGTTGGCACACCACATGTCGCAGGATTCCCGTTCAGTCGAAAGAGAGCCCAGCGGCTCACTGGGCCCTCCGAGCCGAAATCACTGAAATCTAAACATGTCAAGTCCGCCGCTGGACGATGGCCTCCTCACACTGTGCGGGCTCGTTGAGACGTCGTCTGGCCATACTTCACCACGCCGGTCAACGCGGGTTCATGAAGGCGGGGAGCATAGAAGCAGCGGCATAGAAGCGCAACAATGGATGTCGCTGCACTGCCACCCACGGCTACAACATATATTTTTTTCTACAACATATGCTCAACCAAAGGCAACACTTTGTCAGTATAACAACGGGTTCGAACTGGGATGTCTGATTATGTAATTAATCGATGACTCCTAATTATTGGTTCGTTTACTCGACTATTCTGGATCGCACGGAAAGAGTTGGGGGGGGCGGGGGGGGGGACAAAGTATAAGCTCTATTCTCACGTGTGCCGCTGGACGGGAGGTGGATGGGCAGGGCTTCGTGGCATCGTCAGCCGCTGTCACGTGTGGCTTGCGGGGGGAGGACGGACGTGGGGGTTGCTGCGATTTTCTTTAAATATTTTTTGGTTGAACGATTCACCAATCGCCCCATCAGTAGTCAAGTTCAAGTTCATTTATTAGGTAGAGCCCTGTGAGCCATCGGCTCTTGAATCGGGTGCAACCGCAAAAAACAACAAACATAAACATGAACAAGAAAACATCTTAAAGTGAATATGTGACTAAGTGCAATCAGAAAATCCAAGAAAAGACGGCAAAATATTGCAGACGTGATGGTTGCACACACCTTATACGTGTGCGAAAATGCACGGCAAGTTCTCGTATTAACACGGTAGATGCGTTCCCGAAAAGTGCCCGGAAAATGAATGCATTCGGCGGACGCGATTTCCCCGTAAACAATGTAATAACGATCAAGTTTGGCGAGATACGATGTACTACTACTACGCACACGCGGTGAGACGGCGGGAAAAATACCTGGGGGTATGCCGCATCACTGTATCATTCCATGTTACTGTATCACTCCGCTCAGCTGCGCACCTCAAATAAATAGTTCGTCTTCGACCGCTCAGAAACCACGTGACATCAGGCGCGCCTTCCACGGTAAAACGTTGTGCGTTATAACAGGCGCGGTTTCCCGCGTTATAACGGTGCGCGTTCTGTGTTTTGCAAAAAGTGTTCCCTAATGTAAGAAACCGCGTAATAGCGAATACTCGCTATGGTGCAAATACCGCGTGTGAAGCGTGGGCGGCAGTTTGTCCAATCACAGGGAATCGCGTAAATATGAATGTGTCGTTAAACTCGCCACCACCCACAACATTTACAAACAATTGTAAATGTTGTGGGTTTACTCTCCAACACACCGGTGTGCTGTACTAGTCACGAATTGGCACGTCTTGATCACGTGACAAACCCCTTACTAATTGGCTGTGTCGAGTGGTGGCGGGTTTAACGACACATTCATATTTACGCGATCTCACCCAAAAACCTCTCATGGATAATATTGGTCGTGAGTGCCTACTGCGTGTTGAACTGGGCCATGTTCGTAGGTGTGTGTGCGTGCGTGTGTGCGCGTGCGTGTGTGATAATGCGTCTGTCTCATGCCGTCTCCCCCCCCCCCTTTCACAGCCAAAGTTTATCCCCGAGTTCTTCAGGTGAGAAATTGCAATATTACAGGCGCAGTGGGTCAAACTCGCGTAATGAAACCAAGTAATAGTCCTGCCAACTTTTAGCAGCAGCAGCAGTAGCAGTAGGGGAGCGAGTTTGGGGGCAATGATTGGTATTTATAATCAAATTGATGTCATTTGCGATGTAGTTTTTTTTTAATTGCCAAATATTGAGACCGGGATACCGGCACCACACAGCGGGCCCGCTCTTGCCAGCGGCGTCACCACGAGATGTTTAGCGTCCACTGGGAAGCGAACGGCATGCGTGTATTCTAACAGTTAATACACCGCAACATTAACGTAGTAATCTCGGGGTGGCCTCTGGTTCCGAATCGTGAACCTCTGCAGCAAGCAGGGGAGGGGGCGGGGGGATGGAACGTTGGGCCGTGTCACCGCTCCACGATAAATCCGGTAGGTAATTGGGTAATTAAACGCCACTGCGTTTTCCCGCTGCGTGTATCGCTGCCGGTTACGTCCCGAAGTTAGAAGTGGCTTTGTCCGAAGCTGCTGCGGCGTTTCGTGCAACGGTAAAGGAGACGCCGCTGGAAAACGTTGCCGCTGCGCGACGTTCCTGGCTAGACGAGCGTACGACAAAACAATCACATCTTCTTGGTTCTTTCGGTAAAGTCACGTAGAATGGAAATAATAAAAAGAAAACATAATAAAATCATTCTCACGACGTTTCGGCCACAACGCAAGTAGCCGTCCTCAGGTGGAGAACAGGTCTGTCGAGAAGACAGAGTCTGAATGACAGACCTGTTCTCCACCTGAGGACGGCTGCTTGCGTTGTGGCCGAAACGTCGTGAGAATTATTTGTTTACGTTTTATTTGTATTATTTTATTATTTCCATTCTACGTGACTTTACCGAAAGAACCAAGAAGATGAATCCCTGCAGTCACGAAAGCTTTAAATCGAAAAACAATCACAGTGAATCCTGCAACTGATGATGACGATGATGAGAATGCAAGGGGCGCTACGTGTGTCTGCTCTCGGCTGAAGCCAGTTATACGTAACTTTAGAGGGAAGTCCATCCTACAGACCAGGGTGATATTCCCCCATTGGCTCGGTCCAATTCTCTCAGCTGTTCTCCCCTTAGTGGTTGGTTTCTTCGCGACTGCCTTAGCCTCTCTCTCTCCTCTGTTGGCCACTCTCAACACTCAACCGGACACCTGACACTGCCCGCCCCGACGGGCAAGAGGTGATTGTCTGAAGAGCACGCGCGCACGCACGCACGTGTGAATTGCAGGAAACAGAAGGATGGGAATTACGACATCGTGTCTGGAACTCGTTACCTGGAAGGGGGAGGAGTTCACGGCTGGGACCTCCAGAGAAAAGTAGTAAGGTGGGTGACACGCGCCACGGTGGCGAGATGTTAACTACCTCGCCTCGTACACAAGAGGTCGCGTGGGTTCGATCCCAACCCTGAATCCTGCATATTTGCAGTTCTCCATGTGGGCGCATAGATTTTTCTCCGGGCCCTCCACGTTTAGAAACATGCGTTGAGAGTATTTGGCTGCTATACATGTCCACATGATGCTAAGCCACTTTGTTTAGCCGTCACTTGTGGCCAGGTCGCTTCTGAAAAAGAGCTACGTAGCTCAGTGGGGCCTTACCTGCTCAAAATAAAAAATAGGTTAGTTTACAAGCTGGAAACTCGGCCTGTTAACGGAGCCTCCACGTTTTATTGCCAGTTTTTATTGTTGGTGTCTTGTAGTCTGTTTTTATTCCAACGCAAGTTAGCCGTCACCTGAGGACGGCTGCTTGCGTTGTGGCCAAAACGTCGTGAGAATTATTTTATTATGTTTTATTTTTATTATTTTATTACTTCCCTTCTACGTGACTTTACCGAAAGAACCAAGAAGACATTTATACTTACGCGATCTAAACCAAAAAGCCTTTATTATGAATCATCTTCTGCCTGCGGTCTGTAAAACAATAAGTAACCACTCTGCCGGTGATTTCTTAGAACGTGTGCGATCACCATTGCTGACCTATCCCGTGAATGACAGCACACCAATGCCCCGGTTTACGTTCGGGGGGGGGGGGGGGGATGCGTTCCTGAAAAGCGTGACGACGAACGTCGAAGCGATCGACAGGGCAGGGTCGGCGGCAGCCGAGAGGCTGACGGGTAACGAGAGAGGACGGGACAGATGCCGTCGGCGGCGTGGTGCGCGTGTGCGGGTTAGAGGCGACGCTAATCGGGTGGCGGTGTTCGCAACGGAGTGACGACGAAATTTGCAGACCGACGTGAAAGTGGGGATAAGACGTACAACATCGGGGTATATCTGTGCTGCAGAATCAGAATCGGAATGTTTGAATTACGCTGGAGGAAACCGATAAGCTATCGAGCAGAAAGTTACTTGCGTGCTTCCCCACCTTCAATAACCCGCGCTGCCCAGCGTGCTAAAGTACGGTCAAACGAACGGGGAGGCCTTCATCCAGCAAGTGGATCAACAGCAGGAACCTGCACGTGCAGACGAACAGTGCTGGAGCTTCCGAAGTAATTCTATTTCCTCCGGCCCTTGCTTGGATGACGTCGGGTTGCTAACGTTTGTGCGACGTTTGAATTTTTTTCCAGCCGGGGCGCCAACTTCTTGGCGCAGCTGCTGCTCAACCCCGGAGCGTCGGACCTGACGGGAAGCTTTAGGTACGGGGCAGGGGTGGAGTTGGGGGGCAGGGTGGTGTTGGGGGGCAGGGGTGGAGTTGGGGGGCAGGGTGGCGTTGGGGGGCAGGGTGGCGTTGGGGGGCAGGGTGGCGTTGGGGGGCAGGGTGGCGTTGGGGGGCAGGGTGGCGTTGGGGGGCAGGGTGGCGTTGGGGGGCAGGGTGGCGTTGGGGGGCAGGGTGGCGTTGGGGGGCAGGGTGGAGTTGGGGGGCAGGGTGGCGTTGGGGGGCAGGGTGGCGTTGGGGGGCAGGGTGGTGTTGGGGGGCAGGGTGGTGTTGGGGGGCAGGGTGGTGTTGGGGGGCAGGGGTGGTGTTGGGGGGCAGGGTGGTGTTAGGGGGCAGGGTGGTGTTGGGGGGCAGGGTGGTGTTGGGGGGCAGGGTGGTGTTGGGGGGCAGGGTGGTGTTGGGGGGCAGGGTGGTGTTGGGGGGCAGGGTGGTGTTGGTGGGCAGGGTGGTGTTGGGGACAGGGTGGAGTTGGGGGGTAGGGTGGAGTTGGGGGGCAGGGTGGTGTTGGGGGTAGGGGTCAGATTTCTCTACCACGGGCTGCTTCTCATCGTGTCGCCATGTTAACCACTTCGCCTGGTATACAGGAGGTTGCGGGTGGGTTCGATACCGACGCCCGTTGTATACTTGGAGTTTGCATGTTTGCGTGTGTCTCTCCCCGTGGCCGCGTGCTTTTTAAATCCTTTATATTAAGTTCGCTTGCTTGCTTGCTTGCGTGCTTGCGTGCTTGCTTTCTTGCTTACGACCGTGCAAATTTTTTGGTCGTTTTTTAACCCACTTCCCGTGATCCAATCGAGCTGACATTTTGCACACAGACTCGTTGTGCGAGACAATTAATGTTCGTGACATTTTTTTTCCAAAATTTTACACTGTTTAGGGAAAACAAATTAAATATTTAATTACCAATTGCTTAATACTGGCAGACAATCATCTGACCCATAGGTGGCAGCCATCTCAAGCCAGAGGACGAGATGACTCTAGCCGCCACGCATATAAAGGATTTATAGTGAAAAACTTTGTTTTTACGGGTTATACTTATTTTCTCTCCGGGCCCTCCGGTTTTCCCCCTCCAAAATTCTAATCAACATCGTGCGGTTTAGAGTGTTTGGTGGGGTGGGGGCGTAAGTCAAGAAGTCGATTCTCGCACACGTGATCAATTACCAGCGACGCGCACTTCTGGCCCAACGCCACCGTCTGGCCTAATTGGATATCGGTTGGCTGCGGCAAAAATCTATTGTTGCGCTGTACTTCTGCGGTCCCGCATCTCTGCTGTTCCCCCCCCCCCCCGCCTTCACCAACCCTCGTGGTGCATTGTGGTCAAATAAACCCCGATTATTTGCACTGCGCCTGGAGGCCCTCATCTAGCAGTGGATTGACAAACGGGCTGTGCGCGCGAGTTTCATAAAGCTACCCGCTCGCTGTGCCTCAAGGTACAGCCAGGCTTCTCGCAGCCTTGTGTGTGCATCTTCCATCACCTCTTCGTCCACCTCCTCCTGTGTGCTCCTCTCCGTTCTCCCCTTCAAATCCCCCCCCAACGACAACAATCACCGTTCACCACTAAGCGACGGTGACGTCACCACGGCACCTGTGCCATCCTCGGTGCACTTTAAGGCGACCACGTGAAGTGTCGAAGGCTCGCTGCTGGCAGGAGGTCAATGGACACAGACCCAGTTGCCGGGGGTCGACTGGCTGACCACCAACGGAGGGAGCTTGATTGTAACGCTCCCGCGCTCTCTGCTCCTTTGGGGCTGTGGGTGTGCAGTTGCCGATTACAAAATCAGGCACTGAACCTGACTGATTAATTAAACCCAAGTTTATTTTTCAATTAAAATCACTGTGCCAACTCCCTGCGTTTTACCCGCCCGACGCTCCGCTCGTTGCAAAGCGTCGCTCCTCCGCCCTCCGTTGTTCCTGGAGGGCGACTGCCTCCCAACTCCCCAGAAGCGTCCTTCACAAGCCTTATCCAGAGACAAAGATTTCCCAGTTAGCCTTTAACAGACTGTCAGCGCAAGTGATGTTAGCGAGCACCTATGAAGGTCGCCACTGCACACGAGGGGGTGGGTGGTCAACATCACCGTCGGCCCCCTTTGTCCCCCCAGTGGCGATGTTTACACACCGCCCCAGGTACTCAATAGAAGCCGATTCGACCTAGGGGAGGCCCAGAATCGCTTTGACGCCTGACCACCACCTCCTCTCACATTCGGATTCCTCCTCCTCCAGCACCACCTCCTCCTCCCTCTCTCCTCCCTTCCCCCTTCCTTGCACCACCTCCTCCTCCCACGTGTAACTTCTCCTGCTCCTTCTCGCCCCCTTGGTCAACTTTTCTCCAGTAACCCTCCTCCACTTCGTACGAACCTCTCCCCTTCACCCACCACCTCCTCCCCCAGGCTGTACCGCAAGGAGGCGCTGCAGAGGCTGATGGACGTGTGCGTGTCCAAGGGCTACGTGTTCCAGATGGAGATGATCGTCCGCGCTCGCCAGCTCGGCCTCTCCGTTGGAGAGGTGGGTTCTGTGGTAGGATGGTTCTGTGGTGGGTGGGTTGTGCGGTGAGTGGGTTGTGCGGTGGGTGGGTTGTGTGGTGGGTGGGTTGTGCGGTGTCTGCTGCGATGGACGGATCTCCAGTGCGACAGGTTGCGCCGTTCTCTGGAGTGTGAACAGTTTTGTCTCTCCATTGGAACCTCATTTGCCAGAAGAAAAAATATGATAATTGGTTTTCTACCCTCTTATCTGGCAACAAAACTGGCACCTTTTTTACAAGGAGTCATGTTTGCATAGACCACAATACCTGCAGTCATAATGCAAACAAAAAACATAACTCTGATAATGTATGCACTGTCCTTGAAGTTATTTGGTCCACACCCGAGACAGCTTTTCTTAGAGCCTAGTCTCACATGGGTTGGACCAGATGACGCCAAAAGGCGCACAACTCAAAGACAATGCACCATCAGAGTATGAGAGCTAGGGGTAAGCATTTACACCATTGGAACCTCATTTGCCAGAAGAAAAAAGAGTGCATACATTATCAGAGTTGTGTTTTGTTTGCATTATGACTGCAGGTATTGTGGTCAATGCAAACAGATAAAAGGGTAAAAAAATAATGATCAATTTTGTCTCTCTTGACCCAACACCGATATCACAGTCAGGATGACAGCGTAGAGCATTGGGAGGAAAGTATACCAAACAAAATCGTCAAACAGGCATTCCCCACTATTAACATTGCAAGCTACAACGCGTTCCTGGAAACCCCGTCGTCAATCAGGCCCTGTTTTCCCATGGATGGCATAAACAGTATAAACGTCCCTTAGCGATGTGGTTTTTCTTTTTATCAGCCGTATTTAACAGGATTTTACCGATAAAATAAATCCACGGAAACACTCGAATAACAAAAGCTCCACGCCAAGTCACATCGGAAACCAGACCGTGTCGGAAGATGTGCCGTGTATCAACTTTCTGCGTCGTCATTCGAGCCATGGTGGAGTTATATAGAAAAGTTGTAAATGTGGATCGTGTCAAATTGGATCATCGTAAACCTGAGAACGCCTTGGTACACGGGGTTTTTGTTTTATCCTGACCGCACTTTTCCCTCCGCAGGTGCCCATCACGTTCGTGGACCGGCTGTACGGGGAGTCGAAGTTGGGAGGCAACGAGATCGTGTCGTACCTGCAGGGCCTCTACACGCTCTTCAGCACTGTGTGACCCAGCCCCACGTGACCCCGCCCCACGTGACCCCTCCCCGTGTGACCCCTCCCTGCGTGACCCCGCCCCAGCGTGACCCCGCCCCGCGTGACCCAGCCCCGCGTGATCCCGCCCCACGTGACCCAGCCCCACGTGACCCAGCCCCACGTGACCCCACCCCATGTGACCCCGCCCCACGTGACCCCGCCCCACGTGACCCCGCCCCACGTGACCCCGCCCCACGTGACCCTGCCCCACGTGACCCCGCCTTGGGCTGTCGGGGGAGGGCGACCCAAGTACAAAGCCACTGGAGCTATGCACTTTTTAATCATCTAGATTGAAAACTAGATTTGACTACGTACGGTGCGACGGAAGTTAAACACGCGTACAATAAAGTTGCAACCCTTGAGTCTGTCCTAGGCCCAAGTTCTTGTTAAACACCGAAAGTAAAAATTCTTACAAGGCACGGGGACAATGCAAAGCCAGTCGTACCTCTTATTGACAAGAAGCTTTGTTAGGAGAAGTTATTTTTCTACACTTGTGGCTCTACAGCATTGGCCATTTATCGGTACGCCGTCAAAAAAAAAATAGGGAGACATTTCACGTAATGAACGTATGTACGTTGAACTTCTTTTGCACCGTACGTAGCGCTAATCGGAAGTGCGGGGGGGGAAGGACAACAAACTAAACACAAATAATAAGTTCTAAAGAAATGAGTTTGTCGATCGAGATGATTTAAAAGTTAATCGCTCCGGCAGCTTCCTAATATTGGGAGAGCATTCCAGACAGCCGCAAAAGCGCGTCTTTAAGCACGCGATGCGGTCACGGTCTTTTGTCCAATGGCTGAGCCGAAATAATAATCCCGTTCTCTATTGCCGTGCGCCGCTTGTGTAAAAATTCCGCTTGAAGTCGGAGCGTGCTAAGATAATCTCGATTTGAAGCTTTCGTGACTGCAGGAATCCATACTCTTTGGTTCTTTCGGTAATGTCACGTGGGTATAAAAATAAAATAAATCACGACGTTTCGGGCACAACACCTGATGACGGACGCTTGTGTTGTGCCCGAAACGTCGTGATTTATTTTATTTTTATTAAATCCTTTATATTAAGTTCGCTTGCTTGCTTAGGACCGTGCAAATCTTTCGGTCGTTTTTTAACCCACTTCCCGTGATCCGATCGAGCTGACGTTTTACACACAGACTCGTTGTGCGTGACAATTAATGTTCGTGAAATTTTTTTCCCAAAATTTTACACTTTTTAGGACAAAAATATTATATTTAATTACCAATTGCTTAATGGTGCAATGCAATCATCTGACCCATAGGTGGCAGCCATCTCAAGCCAGAGGACGAGATGACTCTAGCCGCCACGCATATAAAGGATTTATAGTGAAAAACGTTGTTTTTACGGGTTATACTTATACCTACGTGACTTTACTGAAAGAACCAAAGAGCATGCTAAGATAGCTCAAACAAGAGCCGATTCGCCACTCGGGACACACGGCCCTGAGTACTTTTGACGGCCCGTGTGTTGAGCTCCCAAGACGTGGTGTGGTCGAGGCTGAAAGCGCTCGTGACAGGGCCAGCGAATCCTGACAGAGCACGCATTCTAACCCCTACCCCAGAGTCCAACTTGCTGCCCTTTAGCCGTGCGCGGCAATATCATTTCGTCGTTCGTGAGCTGAAGTGAAAGTGCGCGGAGAAAACCGATGGAAGATGAATATTTCGACAAACGGCATGACGCTGTTGCTGCTGAAGAGGGTCGCTTGCGTCGAGAAAAGTTCTGCAACGTCCTTCGAACGAGCGGCGGATTTTAATATTTTGGTAAAACTGCCGTTGTTAATACGGCTGACGACAAAGTTAGTAATGGTGACGATGGTTTGCATCGCTACTGCGGCCGCTGGAGGCGCTACCATCCACCGCGTAAAAAAACTAATTCTTGAACCAAAACTAAAAAGCGACAATTATCAAATTGCCGGGAAGGTGAATCGCCACACTCCCAGTGTTGTTGTTGCCTGCTGATGTAATGGTGGTGATAGTGGCGATGCTGATCATGATGGGTATGATTTTGATAATTGTGGTGGTGGTGGTGATGTATGTTCAACTTCTTTCGCACCGTACGTAGCCAACCGTGATAATCGGGAGGTGCGGGGCGAAGGACAATAAACTAATGATGCTGGCGATTCTTATCATAATGAAGTTGGTGACGGCATTAATGATATTAATAATGGTGGTGGTGATGTTAATGTTGGTGATGATGTTGATAACTGCTTGCGGTGGCAATGGCAGACACGGTGGCGAGATCTTGCGGGCAGCGCTCCACGAACCGCACGGTTCCCGGTTCCACTCTTGCCGTGGTTCTCCTTGCGACGCGAAGTGGTCCAGGACGACAAGCAAACGCAAGTCGACAAAAGCCGGCCTAGCAAGGGGAGCCTGCACTGTTGTTGCGTTCACGAGATTCGGCCGCGCAAAGGGAGAGGGGGGCCTGCTCGTTGGACGTGCGAGTCCACGCACACTCACGACGTCGCCGCACCCCCTTCCGTAAGAACAACAAAAACGGAACGTTTTGTAGCGAAATGCTCGTTTAGAAAGTGTTTCCATCTCGACATTGCTCGAAAACTATAACGCGTCCGAGCCACTGGTGTGTTCGGCAAGTTTGTGCGGGTATGCGGGTTCTGAGCGAGTGAGTGAGTGAATAGATGAGTGAGTGAATCGATGGATGCGTGGGTAGCGGGTGAGTGGGTGATCGGGTGAGCGAGTCGGTGAGTGGGCGAGTGAATGGATGGATGAGTGAGTGGGTGGGCGAGTGAATGGATGGATGAGTGAGTGGGTGGGCGAGTGAATCGATGGATGAGTGAGTGAGTAAACTGGCCTTTACCCATGGCCTCGTTCTGGCCGTGTACCCTGCATGTTCTGTTTATTTCCCAGCTTTTCATACACGGTGGCACATTGGTGGGATCTACTGATGAAATGCGTGATAATTTATATTTCCGCTCTAAGCATTCCCTTATGTGCAAGAAACTTTATCTGTCCGACCAGCCAGTCAGAAAATCGCCATCTCTGAACTATCCATTTCTCTCGGCCGATGTCAGCGGATGGCAGATGTGGATTATACCGGATGCAGTGTGCGGCTGTGGTCGTCCACAACGGAGCGCGCGACGCATAACGATGCAATGCCCGATCCACAAATACGAAGAAGACATCGCAGCGATGATGCGCTGCTCCTGACGCGGTTGTCCGCTTTGACCACCTGAATGTGACAGGTCGTTTTTGCTCCGCATCTCCATCAGCAGCCGTACGGAAGAAGAAGAAGAAGACTGGTCACGTCCCATGAAGAAGGGCCGTTGCCCGTTCTACATTTTTTTCCGTTTAAGGCCGCACATTGTTGTGACTGACGAGTTTGCCAACGCAGCAGCAGCACCGGGTGATTTGTTCGCGGCGTCGTTTCGTCGACCGTCATGAAGTCTCGCGTCTTCCCCTCGCTGCCTCCGTCGTCGCCGTCGTCGTCGTCGCTGCCGGGACGGGCGTGGCGGCCGATACGACGAAGCGCTCCGTGCGGATCACGGGCGCCGCGCGGAACGGCAAGCGGCGCTCCGAGTCGGCGCGAGGCCGCCTGGTCCCCTGGCGGCGGGAGGAGGAGGAGGGGGAGGCAAAGCGGAGACGGCGGTCGGAGCGGAACGCCGCGACGGCCCCGCGCCGGTTCTGCCGCTCGCCGAGCCAGGAGGGCCTCCTCGGCGAGTCTCGGCAGGAGGGTCGCGCCAAAGTTGGGCGATGACGCTGCTGCTGCTGCCGATGCCAATTGAGTGATTTTCAGAAAAGGTTTGACCCTTTCTGGCAATACAACAGCCGTGTCCAAGATGTTAAAACGCCAAACTGAAACCTTTGCAGCGAATCGGGTCCGCATTAATCACGCGCAGTACTTGTGGTGAACATGCAAACAAAAAAAACACGCTCTGGTAGTCTATGATGGTGCGTTGTCTTTGATAAGCTGATTGGTCCACACCAGAGGCAGCTTTCTTTAGAGCCCAGTCTCAAACGGTGTTAGACCAGAGGACGCCAAAAGGCGAACAGCACAATCAGGACATTGAGAGCTCTGAGTGAGTAGCTGCATCACGGGACCTTGCTAGCACAACAACTTTTATTGCCAAAAAGGGTAAAACCTATTCTTCATACGGTTTTATTGTAAATGTTTTTACTGCAAAGAACTGAAACTATCCGAGAGCATCCTCGAAGAAGGCGCCATCGAGAGGGGACTCTGGAACAACGACAAGGGAGGAAACATGCACGCGCACGCTGCTTTACAACGTGTGCGCGTGCGTGCTCAGAGGTGTCCGGCGATAGCGCAGAGAGCCGCGGCGGCACGACCGCCGACACCAAACCGTGCCACACGTGCCCTGCGCGTCGTCGTCACCAAACTGCGCGTCGTCGGAAAGGGTCAGAAAGGGGGAACGTGCTTGATGTACACGAGGGTCAACTTTACGAGAGTCGCAGAACCTCGGATGATGATCGATGTCCCGTGGGGGGGGGGGGGGGGCTGTGAGTCTGACCGAGCCGAGCTGCGACAGGAGCCGACGGATGGTCGCTGGGAAAGGTCGCCGCGTGAGTTCTCGCTCCGCGCGGTTCAGCTGCTCCTCCAGGCACGAGACTCCCGCCTGCAGCATCCGCACGAAGCCCTGTGCCGCGGACAAAGGTCCCCCGTGTAGCCTTAACAGACTGCTGGGGCAAGTGCTGTTTGCAAATCTACGAAGGCCGGCACGGCAGCGTGCCCCCCCCCCCCCCGAGCGCACCGGGTACTCTTTTGAGGCTGAGTCAACCTAGGGGAAGCCCAGGGACTTCTTCAAATATTCATCACCAGTGTTCGGTGGCCGTGAGCGGGATTCGAACCCGGCTCGCCGGCTTCGTAGCGCAGCGCGCGAACCGCTACCCGACCGCTCCCCACCAAACAAAGGGCACGCGCACAAAAACAAAGATCCCCCGCGCAGCCTCAACAGACTGTTGGGGCAAGTGCTGTTAGCGAGTAGCACCAATGAAGGCCGACGGAGCTCACGAGGGGGCGGGGGGGCGGGCGGCCCGCACCGCGCCCTGCCGCCTTTGTCTCCCCAGTGGCGATGCCTACCGCACCGTGCACTACTCAGAACCGGTGCAGACACCCAAAGTGCCGGCAAGCAACCGGTGAAGACCTGAAGCCACGCGGCGGAGGTCACGAGCCACCGCAAGAGCGGATCTCGTCCAGGCCCCGTGGACTGCGCGTTGAGGTGGCACCTGCCCATAGTGTCGGATCACCACCGCGCGCGCTCGCAACAGCTGTGGAATCTGGCGCAGGGAAGGAAGCGACGGCGAATTACGCCCATCGGCGGGAACTGGCCGGGGACCCGTCACGTGCTTCAGGTGGGAGCGACCGCGCTCCCGGGAGGACGTCCGTGGCGGAGACGGAGCGGGTTGGGGAGCGTCACCTCGAGCTGCTCGATGCGGGCGAACACGAGGCGCACGCCCGGCACGAGGGCGTGGAGACGGGGCAGGGCGTCGTCCCGGGCGCTGTGCGTGTCTCTGCGCACCTGGCGCACGCACGCGGTCACCGCTGTGGTGTGGGTGGTGCTGGTTGTGGTGCTGGTGGGGGTCGTGGTGGGGGTCGTGGTGGGGGTGGTGCTGGTTGTGGTGTGGATGGTGCTGGTTGTGGTGCTGGTGGAGGTTGTAGTGTGGGTGGTGCTGGTAGGGGTTGTGGTGGGAGTTGTGGTGGGGGTTGTGGTGGGGGTGGTGCTGGTTGTGGTGGGGGTGGTGCTGGTTGTGGTGTGGGTGGTTCTGGTTGTGGTGGGGGTGGTGCCGGTGGGGGTTGTGGTGGGGGTGGTGTTGGTGGGGGTCGTGGTGTGGGTGGAGCTGGTGGGGGTCGTGGTGTGGGTGGAGCTGGTGGGGGTGCGGATGGGGCTAAAGATGAGGCTGATGGAGATGATGATGGAGATGACGGTGCTGATGATGGCGGTGATGATAGTTCTCTGGTTCTCACCATGTCCAGCATGCCACAGAGCTCCTCCATGCGGGAAAGCATTGCCTCTATGCTCATCTCCAGTTCCAAAACCTGAGCAAAGGCAAAGACAAAGACCCCCCATGTAGCCTTTGACACACCGTGGGGCAAAGTGCTGGGAAACTATAACGGCTGGCACGGGGTGCTGTGCTCAGCACCACGGATTACAACGGGCACTCGTTGAAGGCTGAGTTGATGTGGGTGGAGACCTATGGAAGGTTCCTAAATCGCTCGCCACTTATGTTAGCCGTGGCCGGAAATGGAAGTCGGGTTTGTCGCGCAGTGCGCCAACCGCCGTCCCACCGCTCCCCACCAACTTGTGCAAACCCACAGACACAAAGACACCCCCCCCCCCGGTCTCGATGACTTCCACAGATATTCCTCACCGCTGTTCGCCGTGAGCTCGCTAATCGCTGATCGCTGCACCACCGCTCCCCCCCCCCAACATCACCAACCCTATACAAACAAAGACAAAGATCCACACCCGGGTATCCTTCACAGACTGTCGGGGCATGTGATGTTAGCGAGCTCTCATGCACACACACACACAAAGGTGAACAAAGACCAAGATTGCCCTGCATATCCTCAACAGACTGCTGGGACTGAGGATGCGTTTAGTGGCCAGCACCACGTCCGGCCGCCTTTGTCTTCCCACTGCTGATGTTTACACACCGCGCCAGTTACACACACACCAACATCTAACAATTGTCCTGATATAGCTGCAGTCCCGATGAAGCCATAAATGACACATTTACACAGCTGACACAACAAGTCCTGACATAGATAGAGGAGACACCTACACACGTGACACCTCATACAGGGAATCACAGCGTGACACGTGACACCTGATACAGGTAACCATAGCGTGACACGTGACACCTGATACAGGCAATCACAGCGTGACACGTGACACCTGATACAGGCAATCACAGTGTGACACACGTGACACATGATACAGGCAATCACAGTGTGACACACGTGACACCATTTACAGGTAATCACAGTGTGACACACGTGACACATGATACAGGCAATCACAGTGTGACACGTGACACCATTTACAGGTAATCACAGTGTGACACACGTGACACCTGATACAGGTAACCACAGTGTGACACACGTGACACCTGATACAGGCAATCACAGCGTGACACACGTGACACCTGATACAGGTAATCACAGTGTGACACACGTGACACCTGATATAGGCAATCACAGTGTGACACACGTGACACCTGATACAGGTAATCACAGTGTGACACGTGACACACGTGACACCATTTACAGGCAATCACAGCGTGACACGTGACACACGTGACACACGTGACACCTGATAGAGGCAATCACAGGGTGACACGTGACACACCCGCACCTGACACAGGTAATCACAGTGTGACACACGTGACACACGTGACACCATTTACAGGCAATCACAGGGTGACACGTGACACACGTGACACCTGATACAGGCAATCACAGCGTGACACGTGACACCTGATATAGGTAATCACAGCGTGACACACGTGACACCTCATACAGGTAATCACAGGGTGACACACGTGACACCTGATACAGGCAATCACAGTGTGACACACGTGACACCTGATACAGGCAATCACAGCGTGACACACGTGACACCTGATACAGGCAATCACAGTGTGACACACGTGACACCTGATACAGGCAATCACAGTGTGACACGGGACACCTGACACAGGTAATCACAGTGTGACACACGTGACACCTGACACAGGTAATCACAGTGTGACACGTGACACACGTGACACCATTTACAGGCAATCACAGCGTGACACGTGACACACGTGACACACGTGACACCTGATAGAGGCAATCACAGGATGACACGTGACACACCCGCACCTGACACAGGTAATCACAGTGACACACGTGACACACGTGACACCATTTAAGGCAATCACAGGGTGACACGTGACACACGTGACACCATTTACAGGCAATCACAGCGTGACACGTGACACACGTGACACCTGATAGAGGCAATCACAGGGTGACACGTGACACACCCGCACCTGACACAGGTAATCACAGTGTGACACACGTGACACACGTGACACCTGACACAGGTAATCACAGTGTGACACACGTGACACCTGACACAGGTAATCACAGTGTGACACACGTGACACACGTGACACACGTGACACCTGACACAGGCAATCACAGGGTGACACACGTGACACCTGACACAGGTAATCACAGTGTGACACACGTGACACCTGACACAGGTAACCAAAGCGTGACACACGTGACACCTGATACAGGTAATCACAGTGTGACACGTGACACCTGACACAGGAAATCACAGTGTGACACGTGACACACGTGACACCTGACACAGGCAATCACAGCGTGACACACGTGACACCATTTACAGGTAATCACAGTGTGACACACGTGACACATGATACAGGCAATCACAGTGTGACACGTGACACCATTTACAGGTAATCACAGTGTGACACACGTGACACCTGATACAGGTAATCACAGTGTGACACGTGACACACGTGACACCTGATACAGGTAATCACAGTGTGACACGTGACACACGTGACACACCTCCTTGCTCACGTCCGCTCTCAGGCTCCCGGCGAGTCCCATGGCGACAGTGTGCAGGAGGAACTCCCCCTCCTCCATCCCTGGGCCCTGAGTTTCCTCCATCACTGGGCCCTCGGTCTCCTCTATCTCTGGGCCTGGAACCTCCTCCATGTCTGGGCCCTCTGTCTCCTCCGTCTCTGGGCCTGGAATCTCCTCCATCTCTGGGCCCCAAGTCTCCTCCATCTCTGGGCCCGGAACCTCCTCCATCTCTGGGCCCGGAACCTCCTCCATCCCTGGGCCCTCTGTCTCCTCCGTCTCTGGGCCCGGCACCTCCTCCATCTCTGGGCCCTCCGTCTCCTCCATCTCTGGGCCCTCCGTCTCCTCCGTCTCTGGGTCCTTAGTCTCCTCCGTCTCTGGGCCCAGAACCTCCTCCATCTCTAGGCCCTCGGTCTCCTCCGTCTCTGGGTCCTTAGTCTCCTCCGTCTCTGGGCCCAGAACCTCCTCCATCTCTAGGCCCTGAGTCTCCTCCATCTCTGGGCCCTGAGTTTCCTCCGTCTCTGGGCCCGGCACCTCCTCCGTCTCTGGGCCCTCTGTCTCCTCCGTCTCTGGGCCCGGCACCTCCTCCATCTCTGGGCCCGGTACCTCCTCCGTCTCTGGGCCCCGACTCTCCTCCGTCTCTGGGCCTTGTCTCCCAGTCTCCCTTTGCCAGAACCGACCGCCGTTTCCGTTCATGCTGCTGCTGATGGCGATGCAGATGATGGTAACGACGGCGATGATGATGATGATGATGCTGCTGATGATGATGGTGATGATGATGGCGATGCCGGTGATGGTGATGATGATGGCGATGCCGGTGATGGTGGTGATGATGATGCTCACGATGAATGAGATAACGATGACTTTGCTCGTGCTAATGATGCTGCTGCTGATGATGCTGATGATGATGATGCTTCTTCTGATGCTGCGGCTGCTTTACCCCCTTGCATCGTTACTGCTGAGCACAATGGACGAGACGACGCCTGCGTTCATTCACCCCTCCCCTTTGTTACGGCCGCGTTAATTGGACGTCTTGTAAATTATTGCCTTTTAAACAATAATGACGACTGCACATTGCAGACACATTCGCCACGGCGTGCCAGCATCGCTCACTGCATTTCACGGGCGGGCGAGCGGAGGGAGCGGTGGCGCAGTGGTTAGCGTCGCACGCCGGCTGTCCCGGTTCAATTCCCCGGTGCCTCTCGCGACGATTAAAAAAATAAATATTTTTTTTTAAAATCATCTCTGGTACATCCCCTCCGCCCACTCGACTCTAGGTCGGCTCTGCCTTAAATTACGCGTGGCCATCGGGAGGGGAGAGGGGTGAGACAAAGACGACCGCGCAATGTGTTGGCCCGAAAAAAAAAATCTCCCTTTTGCCACCGCGATATTCAAGAGCCGCCGAAATCGATTCCCCGGATTTCCGCTGCTCGCGCCCAACGACATCTGGTGGCGAGGAGTTGTTGTTGTTGTTGTTGCTGGCGCCTCCCCTAGGTCGACTTCGGCGTTAAATGGCTGTGCTTGCGCGCGGCAAGATGATAGCTACCTCGCCTGGTACGCAGGAGGTTGTGGGTTCGATCCCGACCTCTGCTGTATATTTGGAGTTTGCGGTGTCTCTCTCATCATCATCACGCTGGCTAGGAGATGTTGACTACCTCGCCTGGTACGCAGGAGGTCGTGGGTTCGATCCCGACCCTGACGCCTGCTGTATATTTGGGGTCTGCGTGTCTTTCTATATCATCATCATCACGGTGGCTAGGAGATGTTAACTACCTCGCCTGATTTGCAGGAGGTCGTCGGTTCGATCCCGATCCCGACCCTGACGCCTGCTGCTGTATATTTGGAGTTTGCGGTGTCTCATCATCATCATCATCACGGTGGCTAGGAGATGTTAACTACCTCGCCTGGTGTGCAGGAGGTCGTCGGTTCGATCCCGACCCTGACGCCTGTTGCTGTATTTGTGGAGTTTGCGTGTCTCTCTCTCTCTCCGTGGTCGCGTGGATTTTTCTCCGGTTCCTCCGGTTTTCCCCTTCACATTTAGAATCAACATCACGCCTTTAGAGTCTGTGGCTACTGCTAGACATGTCCATATGAGAAGTCCCTTCGTTGAGCTATCATTTGTGATAACCAGGTCGCTCAGTGGGGCCTTACCTGGTGAAATAATAAGTATAACCCGTAAAAACAAAGTTTTTCACTATAAATCCTTTATATGCGTGGCGGCTAGAGTCCTCTCGTCCTCTGGCTTGAGATGGCTGCCACCTATGGGTCAGATGATTGTCTGCCAGTATTAAGCAATTGGTAATTAAATATTTAATTTGTTTTCCCTAAACAGTGTAAAATTTAATTGTCTCGCACAACGAGTCTGTGTGCAAAATGTCAGCTCGATTGGATCACGGGAAGTGGGTTAAAAAACGACCGAAAGATTTGCACGGTCGTAAGCAAGCAAGCACGCAAGCAAGCAAGCAAGCGAACTTAATATAAAGGATTTTAAAAGTGTGTGTGGGTTGCGATCTGTGAAAAGTTCAGCACTGGGGGAGACAAAAGCGGTCAGGTGTGGTACCGGTCTCGCCGTGCGGACGTGATGGACTACTGTAGGTATGTTGGATGTCATTGACCTTCCAATCCCCCCACTGCTAGATGAGAGGGGCTGTTTGACCATACTTCACCACGCTGGTCGAGGCAGGGGGCACTGCCCTCTTGCAGACCAGCACGTATCGCAGCAGCCTGTTGAAAATATATATGATGTAACTAATTCTATTGTGGACATTTCTAGCAGCCAAATACTCTCAGCGCGTGATGTTGATTCCAAATGTGGAGAAACAAAGGAGGACCCGGAGAAAAGTCCACGCGACCACGGGGAGAGAGAGACGCAAACTTCAAATATACAGCAGCAGGCGTCAGGGTCGGGATCGACCCCATGACCCCCTGCGTACCAGGCGAGGTAGTTAACATCTCCTAGCCACCGTGATGATGATGATGAGAGAGAGACACCGCAGACTCAAAATCTACAGCAGACGTCAGGGTTGGGATCGAACCCACGACCTCCTGCACACCAGGCGAGGGTAGTTAACATCTCCTAGCCACCGTGATGATGAAGACGAGAGACACCGCAGACTCCAAATCTACAGCAGACGTCAGGGTTGGGATCGAACCCCCGACCTCCTGCATACCAGGCGAGGTAGTTAACCATGCATGCCGCCCTGGCATGTATGGTTTGCCCATCCAAGCGCGACCCAGGCTCACACATGCTTAGCTTTCGAGATCTGACAAGAAAATGTAAACAAATACAAGACCGATTTAAAGCTTTCGTGACTGCAGGGATTCATCTTCTTGGTTCTTTTGGTAAAGTCACGTAGAAGGCAAATAATAAAATAATAAAAATAAAACATTATATTATGTAGAAGGGAAATAATAAAATAAAAAATATAAAACATAATATAAAGTTTTAAAAAATTGTATTTTATTTTATTATTTCCCTTCTACGTGACTTTACCGAAAGAATCAACAAGATAAATACAAGACCGTGTAGTCCAGATGGACCCCGGTAGAAATGAGTTAGTCCCACCGAATGTGGCAAAAACTCGACCGATTAATCCAACCCAAGTTTATCTTTCGATTAAATTGAAAACGCATTTCGTGAGAACTGCTGTTTGTGTGACTCTAGGTTGTTGTCCTCCCCCCGCAACCTCCGGATTCGCACGGTTGGCTCGGTACGGCGCGAAAGAAATTCAAAGTACATACGACACACAACTTCAGTCGTGTCGATTTCTCTACACGGGTAGACTCGTCGGATTCGTGCGGTGGGTGCAGGCAGGAGAGGTTCGTCCACCAGGAGGCGTTGGGACGCCACTCGACCAAGCAGATGGAGATTTTACTGGTAGGTAACTCCTGGTTACTACTGTTGTAGCTACTACACGTGTAGCTAGTAGCTACTACTACACGTGTAGTAGCTGCTACTACACGTGTAGTAGCGACGGGCCCAGCGCTCTCAAGGGCCCCGCGCTAAATGCTTTCAAGCTATCAATACCGGTTCAGTGATTCTGTACTTGCTCTATTACTATAGTACTATACCACTTTAAACTTTTACGAACGACTCGGTGTTTAAGGTTAGCGATTTGTCGTATTATTTGGCTGTATGAAACATACAATAACTTTACTATTCAAGAAAAAAATGGATGTGTTTTAATATTTACGTTTTTTTTATTATTTAAGGCCCCTTTATAACAAATGCCACAGGTCCCGCACTCGCTTAGTCCGGCACCGGATGGGTGGCCAACACCACGCACGGCCGCCTTTGTCTCCCCAGTGGCGATGTTCACACACCGCACCAGGTACTGATTTGAGGCTGAGTCGACCTAGGGGAGGCTCAGGACCGGTTCAGATAATATCACGGTATACCACCGCCATCGTCACCGGACCACCAATAATAATGATTACGATCAATTATAATATTTATTATAATAAAGTATCATATTAATTTAAAAAAATTATAATATTAATTATAATTAATTGTATCGATCCCGCGCCCTGCTCCTATTGAGGCGTGGGTGTGTTTCATACAAAATCAGGCACTGAACTCCACTGATTAATTAAACCCAAGTTTATTTTTCAATTAAAATCATGACTCCGCTGCGCGTCACACTATACAGTATATTTAACACACGTTTATTCATCATACATCATCATCATACATATATAAAAAATAAACGCCGGTCTGCGCGGCGCGCTGTGTAACCCAAAGTTTCCCCAAATTCTCGTCCGAGCGATCCACCGCACCACCACCATTCTCCGACTTTCCGTGTTTACCAATTAACTCCTCCACATGCGATTACCTAGTACTGTAACTCGTGCCACGCTACACGCGCCAGATGATTGTTTAATACGTTCCACGTGACGCGCTAAGCAATAAACCCGTCTGCATTGGTAAAAGTCGATTCAAATGAAGACTGAGATCTCAGCGTACGTGTGTGCACGTGTTGTGTACGTGCACGGGTTGTGTTCCGTGTGTGTGCACGTGTTGTGTGTGTGAACTGGTTGTGTTCCGTGTGTGTGCACGTGTTGTGTGTGTACACGTGTCGTGTTCCGTGTGTACACGCGTTGTGTGTGCACACGTGTCGTGTTCCGTGTGTGTGTGTGCACTTGTTATGTGTGTGTACACGTGTTGTGTACGTGTACACGTGTTGTGTACGTGTACACGTGTTGTGTACGTGTACACGTGTTGTGTACGTGTACACGTGTTGTGTACGTGCACACGTGGTGTGTTCCGTGTGCACGTGTTCCGTGTGTGTCCGAGTGTTTCACGTGTGCGCGTGTCGCCCACACACGCTCCCACGTGACGCGGACAACGTTAATTGCTCGGCGTGTCATGCGGGACGTGTTTAACAATCATCGGGCTCGTGCAAGCAGCTTGGAACGAGTTCATTTGTATTTGAACGTGAAGGAGTAAGACGGTAAACACGGAGGGGGGAGCGTGGTGGTGTCGTTCGCGAGGTCTGAAGTTTGGAAAACCCTGGACTGGAACGAATCCGTGTCTCTCTCTCTCAATCGGAATCCCACCGCTCCCACTTTTACAAATATTTTAAAAACCGGCACTCCACTTTCGACACGCGGAGGATGGGGGGGCATTTTGATAAAACAAAATAAAGACGACTGAAGTACACAAAGATCACCCGTGTAGCCTTAACAGACTGTTGGGGCAAGTGCTGTTAGCGAGCAGCACCTATAAAGGCCGGCGCGGCACACGAGGGGGTTGTTGTTGGCCCACACCACGTCCGGCCGCCTTTGTCTCTCCCAATGGTGATGTTTACACGCCACGACCAGGTTACTCATTTAAGGCTGAGCCGACCTACCGGTTAAGTAATCGGCCACGAGCGTGATTTGAACTGGGGTCTCCGGATGTTTTGCCGGAGTGCGCTAACCACTGCACTACCGGCTCCCCACACTTAAGCACGAAACAAAGATGCCCCCCGTATAGCCTTAACAGACTGTAGGGGCAAGTGCTGTTAGCACCTATAAAGAACGGTACACGAGCACCTATAAAGGCCAGAACGGTACACGAGAGGGTGGGTGGGCCAGCATCACGCCCGACCGCCTTTGTCTCCCCAGTGGCGATGTTTACACACCGAACCGGGTACTCATTTGAGGCCGAGTCGACCTAGGGGAGGCCCAGGACCGGTTCAGATAATCGTCACTGGTGTTGGCCGTGAGCGGGAATCGAACCCGGGTCGCCAGGTTATTAGCGCAGCGCGCTAACCGCTGCACCACCGCTCACCACACTTAAGCACGCACACATACACACACGTAAGTATGTACACACGCGCACACACGTACCCACATGTACACATGTGACGTAACAGCACTCTTATGTCTGTCAGCTCATACTCTTTGGTTCTTTCGGTAAAGTCACGTAGGTATACAGAACCAAAGAGTATGGATTCCTGCAGTCACGAAAGCTTCAAACCTGTCAGCTGAGTTCACGTCAAGTACATTACATAAGGTGTCCTTCTTTAATGTACTTGAAGAAGACGAATTCAAAACCCGCATAAAGCGAATTTTGTGTCACAAACGACGCGGAAGGCCGCACACACGGAAAAGCAAACGCGCGTCCACGACGTCGTGTTTCCACGGCGGGGCCTGTCGCATTTGTTATAAAGGAGCCCTAAATTAAAAAAAAAATTTAACCCGTAAAAACAAAGTTTTTCACTCTAAATCCTTTATATGCGTGGCGGCTAGAATCCTCTTGTCATCTGGCTTGAGATGGCTGCCACCTATGGGTCAGATGATTGTCTGCCACAATTAAGCAATTGGTAATTAAAGATAATTTCTTTTTTCCTAAACAGTGTAAAATGTTGGAAAACATTTTTCATGAAAATTAATTGTCAAGCACAACGAGTCTGTGTGCAAAATGTCAGCTCGATTGGATCACGGGAAGTGGGTTAAAAAACGACCGAAAGACTTGCACGGTCCTAAGCAAGCAAGCAAGCACGCAAGCAAGTGAACTTAATATAAAGGATTTAATAACACGTGAATATGAAAACACAATTTTTTTTACTTGCATAGTAAAGTAATTGTATTTTTTCATTTGCTATACGGCCAGATAATACGACAAATCGCTAACCTTATACACCGAGTCGTTCGTAAAAGTTGAAGGCGGTATAGTACTATAGTAATAGAGCAAGTGCAGAATCACTGAACCGGAATTTATAGCTTGAAAGCATTTAGCGCGGGGCCCTTGAAAATGCGGGGCCCGTAGCTACTACACACGCAGCTACTACACGTGTAACTATGTTTGCTACTTGAATAACACTGGTCAACCAAATTTTTTTTTCTGGCCTGGACTTTTGCAGCTGTTTTAGACTAATTTCAGGGTGCTGATTCCAAATCTGATCTCTGATTTGCTCTATCACATCTCATTGTATGCTATCGGCATACCCCATTTTCATTGATTTTACCCGAAATTAACTCTGTCACTTATGATTGCAGGTTGTTCCGAGTCAGTGACTGCTTTAGTGTTAAAATATGGTGCTGTATTTTTAGGATAGTGTGTTTATAATATCATTTTATGTAGATATCCACATTTATATAATATTTTTCTTCTGCCTGCAGTTTTATTGAAAATGCAATATTTGATATCTCAAAAACCTGATGTGATAGACAAAAACTGATACCAGATTTGGAATGCCATAAAAAGTGTGTTGACCAGTGTAATCCGGCACTGGGTTGGCGGTGCTGTTGCGAGATTTCGCGCAGCGAGTACAAAAACAAAAACGGAGGAGCGTGGAAGTGAACGCTAGAGGGCAGACGCCACCTCCTTGCAAGGCGCGGGCAAGGAACGCAATGGGTGGGTGGGATTGGAATACGGACTCACGATCTGTCGCCAACCGAGAAAAATTAACCCGTAAAAACAAAGTTTTTCACTATAAATCCTTTATATGCGTGGCATCGGTTTTATTTTATTATTCATTTCTGTTTTGCTTGAGTAAGAGTTTCATTTTTATCACATTGGTATTTTAAATTAAATATAAGGAAAGTCGTATATAAGGACATTGGTCTTTGAAACGGGCGGCTAGAGTCCTCTCGTCCTCTGGCTTGATATGGCTGCCACCTATGGGTCAGATGATTGCCTGCCACCATTAAGCAATTGGTAATTAAATATTTAAAATAATTCCTAAAAAAATTCACGAAAATAAATTGTCACGCACAACGAGTCTGTGTGCAAAATGTCAGCTCGATTGGATCACGGGAAGTGGGTTAAAAAACGACCGAAAGATTTGCACGGTCGTAAGCGCGCAAGCAAGTGAACTTAATATAAAGGATTTAAAAAAACAAAAGCCGCGTGAGCGATGGACTCACGTGGAGAGATATCGAAGGGACACGGCTCCACTTTTTTCGTGGCATTCCTGTCACCCCTCCTCCAGTGGTGGCTCCTGCAAAATCTCTCAGGGGGGGGCAAATGTCTGGATGATTGATAAGGATAAGGTCCACCCATGCAATGGATAAATTAACAGCTTAAGCATGTAAAGGCAACTTCACTTTTTTTAATGTTAATGAAAAATAAAGTGACTCTTACAATACATATTGTTTGTTTCTATACTCACTATTATTACAATCCACTCAGTTTCTTTTATTAAAGATGCCACGAGGTAGCGAAAAATATTGTTGATGACGTAAGCACGTTAGTGCGAGCCCTCCCAGAAGCCATAGAGAATGCATTGGAGCGCCCGCCGTTCGAAAAAAAACATCTTTCAATGTAAGTCTATGGGGCCACTCGGGCCGATTCTCAGCCGGAGTGAAATCGCCCAAAAAGAGGCGGTACTCCACAGAACGTGACATGACGCTGATTGGACTATATCCAGAGGCACAGTAACGGCTGAGATTTGGTGGTGCGTCGCCCAATCGCCCTAATGAAGAAACTGCCCCTGCCCTCCTCCCTCCTCCACCCCCTGTAACGTTGCAGGCTCGGCTCTGGTCGTCTTCACACACGAGGAGCAGTCGAAACGCGAGCTTGGGAGGCGCATTGTCGGAGACATTCTAGAAGACGCTGGTGACGAACACGCGTCTGGTACGGCGGAAAGCTTGCGGAGGATTTCGTCCAGCAGTGGATTGAACATTCTAGATTTGAAGCTTTCGTGACTGCAAGTATTCATATTCTTAGGTTCTTTCGGTAAAGTCACGTAGGTAGTAATACATTTTGATTTTTTTACCTACGTGACTTTACCGAAAAACCCTAAGAATATGGATTGAACATGGCTGATTGTGTCATTTTTGTTTGTCATCGGTATGCATTTCAATCTGGATTAGAAGCTTTCGTGACTGCAGGAATCCATACTCTTTGGTTCTTTCGGTAAAGTCACGTGGGTAGACGACTTCAGAATTTCCTTGCTGTGGTTGTCCCATCTGATGATATTTCGCTTGTGTTGCGATCGAAACGTCGTGATTTGTTTTATTTTATTTCTACCATATGTGACTTTGCCGAAAGAAGCAAAGAGTACGGTATAACATTTTTTAAGCGAATTTTTTTTTGGTCGGTCAGGGTGGAGTGGTGGCACAGCGGTTAGCGCCATCGCAATAATACAAAACAAACGTTTTTAACACTTCTTAGAATTTGCAACAATACCACAAGAAACGCGACTCCGGGCTCTGGAAACCACCTGGAGAAGATCCCAGCCACGTGTTGACAATGATGGCGAACTTTTTGAAGCTATTAACATTACATTTGTTATCGTGTTACATTGTAGTATTATCCGTTATTTTCCCATTAAAAACGATAGTCCCGTATAAGTGTTAACATGTTTTTGAAGCGCCCTGTGTACCCAGCGGCCTGAGTTTTGATTCCCCACTGCGGTGGGCGATGACTGAACCGGTCTGGGGGACCCACCACCACCACCACCAGCACCACCACCAGCACCACCACCACCACCAGCACCACCACCACCAGCACCACCACCACCAGCACCACCAGCACCACCCTGCACCATCAGTACGGCTGAACAACCTCCACGGCGAGTGCAGTGGCCTTAAGGCCATAGTTCTTAACCTTTACCGCAGCCTTGCACCCCCTTTGCTTCTCAATCGCTAGACATACAATGTACAACGTTAATAACTACACAGGGCTTGATGAAACAGAGTTATCTTCTTGGTTCTTTCGGTAAAGTCACGTAGAAGGGAAGTAATAAAATAATAAAAATAAAACAATACAATCATTCTCACGACGTTTCGGCCACAACGCAAGCAGCCGTCCTCAGGTGAAAGCCAGGTCTGTCGAGGCGACAGCGTCTGAATGAAACAGCACACGTGCTTGGAGCATATATATATAAGCTGGGTTGGAAGGGGGGGGGGGAAGGGCGCCTTGACAAAATAATTTGCATATCAAGAGGAATTTAGCATAATTTTTTCTTCTTATGTTTTATTTGTATTATTTTATTACTTCCCTTCTACGTGACTTTACCGAAAGAACCAAGAAGATGAATCCCTGCAGTCACGAAAGCTTTAAATCGAAAGCTAATTATTTTATTATTTTTATTATTTTATTATTTCCCTTCTACGTGACTTTACCGAAAGAACCAAGAAGATGAATCCCTGCAGTCACGAAAGAAGCTTTAAATCGAAAAAGAAACAGAGTTAGTTACTTACGTGCCTGTGTTTAATTTGTCTTTTCGATTATTTACCTTCTAAAACAAAAATCGAGCCACGTCTCGCCCGCCCGCCCGCCCGCCTCCCCCCAGAAAGGACCTCTCGCACCCCACGTGAAGAAGATCCATCGCCTTGAAGCGACGTTGTTGCATCGGCAAAGAGACGCGCGTGAGTTTATGTTGCAGTGTGTCAACCAGTGGCGGCTCCTGCAAAATCTCTCAGGGGGGGCAAATGTCTGGATGATTGATAAGGATAAGGTCCACCCATGCAATGTATAAATTAACAGCTTAAGCATGTAAAGGCAACTTCACTTCTTTAATATTAATGAAAAATAAATTGACTCTTACAATACATCTTGTTTGTTTCTATCTCACTATTATTACAATCCACTCAGTTTCTTTTATTAAAGATTCCACTAGGTGGCGACAAATAATATTGTTGGATGAAACGTGCTTACGTATGATGACGTAAGCACGTTAGTGCGAGCCCTCCCGGAAGCCATAGAGAATGCATTGCAGTGCCCGCCGTTCGAAAAAAAACATCTTTGAATGTAAGTCTATGGGGCCACTCGGGGCGATTCTCAGCCGGAGTGAAAATCGCCCAAAAAGAGGCGGTACTCCACAGAACGTGACATGACGCTGATTGGACTATATCCAGAGGCACAGTGACGGCTAGCGTGACTCTGTGGTTGAATGACATTGGTGGTGCGTCGCCCAATCGCCGTAATGAGGAAACCGCCCCTGGTGTCAACCAATTGGGTGCGCCAATTCACCAGATACGAATCATCAGTCCACGCGTTGGTCGACGTGGGGGGGCCCTTCCGGACCGCACTCGGACCTACAAACTGCTCCACGCGCGCCGGGAAGGTGGTCTAATGGTGCGTTCCTTTCAAAATCATCAAAACCCTCCTTCTCCTCCTCCACAACACGAGCCATATTCTCCCCCGAGACCATGAATGGATCACCTTCAAAATGCAACTCTTTAAAAAAAAATCGACACACTCGTAAATACCACCGTGGCCTTAAAACAATGGCATTAACTGTGTATCTTGTGTTCTCCACAGGGAATGCATTATTTGCTCCGCTGCGGTTCTCCTGCCACCGTTCTCCCATTCACATGTTTCATTGCTTCTACATACTATTAACATGCCCTCCCTTTGTTAATGCTACCCCCCTCCCTTTGGTGCTGCTGATCCTGCATAATGCATGGGCATAATATGACTTTGAACCCCCCCCCCCCCGCCCACCTCCTACGCATTTCCATGAATATGCTAAATTCCTCTTGATATGCACATTCTTTTGTTAATGCTCTCTTCTTCTTCCACCTCCAACTCAGCTTATATATAAGCTCCTAGCTTGGCAGTGTCTCATTCTTCACCTGAAGACGGCTGCTTGCGTTGTAGCCGAAACGTCGTGAGAAATATTTTATTATTTTATTACTTCCCTTCTACGTGACTTTACCGAAAGAACCAAGAAGATAAAAATGTACACTGTTAAAGCGACGTTACGGGCCAATGGGGCCTTCCCTCGGCTCTCCGCTGTGAAGGCCCATTGCCCGAAACGTCACCTTGTGATACACATCGTCTCAGGGCCGCAGTGTTGATGACCGTGGTGGATTTCGATTTAAAGCTTTCGTGACTGCAGGGATTCATCTCCTTGGTTCTTTCGGTAAAGTTACGTAGAAGGGAAATAATAAAATAATACAAATAAACCAATTAAATACATTTCTCACGACGTTTCTTCAGACGCTGTCTTTCAGACAGACCCGTTCTTCACCTGAGGATGGCTGCTTGCGTTGTGGCCGAAACGTCGTGAGAATTGTATTGTTTTATTTTTATTATTTTATTACTTCCCTTCTACGTGACTACCGAAAGAACCAAGAAGATGAAGACCGTGTTGGAGTTTGCTAATTGTGTAGCCTGTGTGCCGCTGGCAATGGAGAATCAGTAGCAGCAGCAGCAGCAGCACCACCACCACGGTTGCATTTGCATTACGAGGTCTACTGTGGAATATCTTACCGTAGAGTTACATTATTTATGTAACTGCCCACTTGTAAAATAAAAAATATATTTTAAAAAGTGGCAAAGCCTGGGACAGGCTTTTTGGAATTGGTTGAAATTCCACATTCCCATAACGGGAGCTAGCCTTACCCGCAGGCCAATCACCTCCACATTCTCACAGAGCGGGGAACTCATTTTAATAACCGAGCAGAGACGAATTGACGATGATGATGGGATCAGTTGACCCCCGGAAAGCCTGGGACAGGATTTTTGGAATTGGTTGAAATTCCACATTCCCATAACGGGAGCTAGCCTTACCCGCAGGCCAATCACCTCCACATTCTCACAGAGCGGGTACTCATTTTAATAACCGAGCAGAGACGAGTTGACGATGATGATTGGATCAGTTGACCCCCGGAAAGCCTGGGACAGGATTTTTGGAACTGGTTGAAATTCCACATTTCCATAACGGGAGCTCGCCTTACCCGCAGGCCAATCACCTCCACATTCTCACAGAGCGGGGAACTCATTTTAATAACCGAGCGGAGACGAGTTGACGATGATGATGAGATCAGTTGACCCTCTGAACCGGGATTTGAACTCGTGACCTAATTGATTACGAGTCGACAGGTAGGTAAGGACCGCACCTCCGATGAGCATGGTTGGCTACGTACGGCGGGAGAGAAGTTCAACACACGTGCGTACATGATCACAGTGCGACACCCCAAGGAAAGCGCTAAAAGCTTTTAAAATCAACAAAAAGCGCCACGGGTGTGCCGTCATTTTCACCACGAATTCTTGTCTCACCCTACCAGCAACAACCACCACCACCGCCACGACTCCAGGCCTCAAGGCTCTCCCCAACGCTACCCTCGTCATTGTTTTTAACCTCAGGGACAACAGCAAAAAAAAACACGTGGATGGATGGATGATATTGCACCAAGACAACTTACTTCGCCGGGACAGATTGTCGCGTCTGCAAAGTGGGTCAGGAGTTGAACGTTGAGCTGGGATGATTCATATTCTTAGGTTTTTTCGGTAAAGTCACGTAGGTAAAAAAATAAAATTAATAAAAGTAAAATAAAAATCACGACGTTTCGGAGGCAACACAAGCTTCCGTCTTCAGGTGGAACCGTCACAGCACGATAGCTGTATCAAGTGAGAGAAATTCTGTGTTCTTGGAATATCTCTCACTTGATACAGCTATCGTGCTGTGACGGTTCCACCTGAAGACGGAAGCTTGTGTTGCCTCCGAAACGTCGTGATTTTTATTTTATTTTTATTTTACTTTTATTAATTTAAATTTTTTACCTACATGACTTTAACGAAAAAACCTAAGAATATGAATCCTTGCAGTCACGAAAGCCTCAAATCTGGGATGATTCGTCGATTAACAATAATTACTTATTTAAACTATTTTTATTTTACCAGTGAGCTATACAGCTGTTTTTCAGAAGCGACCTGGTCACAAATGACAGCTCAACGAAGTGGCTTATCGCGTGAACATTTATAGCAGCCAAATACTCGAAACGCGTGATGTTGATTCTAAGCGTGGAGGGAAAAACCGGTGGACCCAGAGAAAAATCCACGCGACCACGGGGGGAGAGAGACACACGCAAACTCCAACTTTACAGCAGTCGTCAGGGTCTGGATCGAACCCACGCCCTCCTGCATACCAGGCGAGGTAGTTAACATCTCCTAGCCACAGCGGCGCTCTTTTTATCCAGGGAAGCCACACGCAGTGCACGGACCGACTCATTTTCAGATGGCCCCTGCCGCCACATTGGGCGGTTTTAATTTTAAGACGATTTCGGCCAATGGAATGAATCCTTACACGCGTCGAAAAAACTCGGAGCACCCAGAGAAAACCCACGCGTGCGAGGAGGCAACGCTCTATCCCGTCATACAGAAGGATTTCTCATTCGCTGTACCGCCTTACCCCTGGCGAGCCAGGAGGGTGCGGCTCCTCCTGGACACCCACTCGGAAGGGAGTTTCACAACCCATCTGTGCGGTGATTTCATCAACCCTCGCCGCTGCTCTCACAGTGTCGCATTCCAGGCTGTGCCACGTGCAGCGTAAGCCACCACGACCTGGCTGAGTCGATGAAATGTTTTTAAAGTCGATTAATCGACCTAATATAAATATAATCGATTGATTTACCTTCTTGGTTGTTTCGGTAAAGTCACGTAGAAGGGAAGTAATAAAATAATAAAAATTAAACATAAAATAATTCTCACGACGTTTCGGCCACAACGCAAGTAGCCGTCCTCAGGTGGAGAACAGGTCCGTCAAGTAGACGGACCTGTTCTTCTGTCTACTTGACGGACCTGTTCTCCACCTGAGGACGGCTACTTGCGTTGTGGCCGAAACGTCGTGAGAATTATTTTATTATGTTTTATTATTATTTTATTACTTCCCTTCTACGTGACTTTACCGAAAGAACCAAGAAGATGAATCCCTGCAGTCACGAAAGCTTTAAATCGAAATTTAATTATTTTATTATGCTTTCTTTTTATTATTTTATTACTTCCCTTCTACGTGACTTTACCGAAAGAACCAAGAAGATGAATCCCTGCAGTCACGAAAGCTTTAAATAGATTCATTTACGTCGTTGATTACTCGGCCCCACTAAAAAACGGCGGTTGATCCCTCATATTTGTGAAAAAGCGCTTTATAGCACATCGGGTTCCTCCAGCATAAATATTCTGATTATGTTTAACACGTGAGCTTTCGCGACCAATATTATACACGAGGTTTGTTCGGTTAGATCGCGTAAATATAAATGTCGTTAAACCTGCCACCACCCGCCACAGCTAATTCGTAACGAATCGGCACGTTCTGTGTACGTGACAAGTCTAACTAATTGGCTGTGTCGGGTGGTGGCGGGTTTAACGACACATTTATTTTTACGCGATCCAAACCAAAAAGCCTCGATCATGGATTCTGAAAACCTGCCACACCGAAGGCAGGAAACCCCCCTAGGAGCCACGCCCAGCGTGACGTCATCGACAGACGATGACGTAACCAGGCCCCAGACCATCATCTCCAGGTGAAGCTACTTTTGCTTTAATTCAGCCGGGCCAAGGAACCGAACCGATGTTTCGAAAGAGCATCCACTGCTGGACGTAACTTACACCACCACATCCATGACAAGTCTAGATCCTCATCGATAGTCGCTCCGTCTCTCACATGGACGTTCAACCCCCGATGGGGTTAACGCTTCTCTATGGGTTGCCAATAGGACTGCATGATTACCTTGTACAGAATAACAAAGATCCCCCGTATAGCCTTAACAGACTGTTGGGGCAAGTGCTGTTAGCGACTAGCGAGGCGATCAGCGCGTTCCTCTGGCTGTTTCGCACTTCCAAGCCGAGCCTGCGTTTTGTTATTTTCGCTCTCGGAAGGACCCCTCCCGGGCGGCAACGATTGGCGTCGTGGGGAGATTGCCGCTCTACTTTCTGTTGTTGTTGTTGTTTAACGATGAGACTCCGGGAGCTGGCTGGCTGTGCCACTCCGCACCGCCCGATTGGCTACGTACGGCGCGAAAGAAGTTCAACATACATGTACACACTCCCAAGTTTTGCAAGGCAGTTTTTAGCGGGGCCATTGATATCGTCATCGTCGTCGGGGTATTAATCTCAAATTTATTAACGGAAAATATGTCCATGTCCAGTGTAGATCTCGCCAAAGGCTGTGTCTCCTGAGCGTCACGTCTCACCTACACTCCAGTCGAACCACGCGACCCTGAACGCATTTCCGCATTCGGCACAACGCACTTGGCACACCGCACCCGGCACACCACGTCCAGCACACCGCACCCGGCACCATCGACTTGCCCCATGGTTGTGGCTGCTACTCGTCATGGCACCAACACAACACTGACCCAGAAAAAAAAAATCCAGTGAGAAATTAAGCCCTGGCTATTGTCGCTCTTGTTGTCGTTTAGAACATCGCTGTTTATTCTGTTTCAAACAGGTCCCTGCGGGGTGGGCTGGTAGGAACGAATAACCAAAAAATATAAACATCATGTATTATTACACTTGTTAAGCCAGGAAAGCCTTACTGAGTGTAAAGGTTTTTGTAGGGTCCTGCCAAGTGTTTGCAGTAGGGGGCGATGTTGCTGCACCTAATCGGACATCGGACGGACGATATAATCTATTGTAGGCTGGTTCACTTCGTTCCTACCAGTATAAACGTTTGTTGACAGGATGCGACGGCCCCAACGCGGCACGTGTCCACGCGTCGAGCCGCCGATTCACCGAGATTTTCAAGCTGCGCGGTTTCCCTTCGTTATTCACGAACTTGCCATCCGCGATTTTGGCTATCGGCGAATCGCATCCGAAACTCGACACGACTGCAATGAGATAAAGCGCCGAGATAATTTCCACGTATTTAATAGCTTATTCACGCATTTAAGGTGATTCATTAAAAAGGGTGACATCATCACCTGATGATGATGATTGCTTGTGTTGCAGTCGAAACGTCGTGAGAATTTTAATTGTTTAATATTTATATTATTTCCCTTCTACATGACTTTACCGAAAGAACCAGGAATATGAATCCCTGCAGTCACGAAAGCTTTAAATCAAAACAAATACAATGTTAATAATAGCTTCAAAACGTCAAAGTGTCTCCACTTGTTCGCCATCATTGTCAACAAGTGCCTGGAATCTTCTCCAGGTGGTCTCCAGAGCCCGGAGGCAAATTCTCAGAAGCGTGAAATACATTTTGAAGCACCCTGTATACGTGTGCGCGCGCGTGTACACAATATTAGTCTAATCGGTGTGGCGGGAGCCACGAGCCAACACCGATCAAGGCTCTCGCGTTGCACAGCGGGTGCCGTTGGTCACAGCTCCGCTCGCGCGGACCGGCGACTACGTTTGCCGCGCCGTGCGACTCGCTGTGGGCCGCGTCGACCGAAGGCCCCAGAAGGCAGCATCAGGGACTGAATGAGCACCGGTGGTTCAGATGCACGCTGTGGCCAGGAATCGAACCGGGGCTGCCGTGGGACACAGCGAGGCCACACGCGGCAACGCTACGCCGCGTCCACGAGAGCGCGCCGAGACCCACGGTCACGAGCACGATGCAACGCGTCGATAGTGTCTGCTGCTGGCCCTCCCCCCCGCCACCGGAGGCAGACGTCTCTCGTGCGTTCAGCGCCTTGCGTTTCATTTTGAGCTCGGACCGGCGCGGCAAACGGCCAGCGTGGTGGGGGAAAGAATGAATCAACCCGGAGCGCGAGGGCTCCGTGATGGCTCGGCTCCGGTGTGCCGGTGGGAGTAAAACGGGGAGATAAAAAAAAACACGAGTACCAGAACACACTCCCCACCCGGACTCCGACACCGACAAACAAAAAAAATCCTTAGGAGTTTACTTAAAAAGAAAGACCTGGCTCAATGAGCTTTATTGCCTAAAAAGTTACGCGGCGATCGCCCGCACGGCCACCACGGGATGTGTGCGTGCGTGCGCCCGCGCGCGCGATCGCACGGCGAACTACGTCGTTGGGTTTTCATGACAAAAAAAATGAAACGATCAACGCGTCGCGGCGGGGGCGATCGCGATCGGAAAACGCGCGCGGCCCCCACGCGCGTCAACGATAAAAGCGAGGAGCGGGGGGTGGGGGTAGTGGGAAGTCGCTCCGACTACATCGTCACGCAGTCCCTCCGCCGCGCTCTTTGCTTGCCGGGTAGAAAACAAAAACATTTTAAACAATAAGACGAAGTTCGTTATTCTGTTCATTACTACTAAGCCGTAAGAAGCTGATTTGATTTACTTAATACAGCCACGTGGGGATTGTGGGGGGTTCTGTTTTCGTTTGCTTTTGTTCAATCGCGACTTTAAAACCGTCAATTTGGAAGAGCCGGTGAGGTGCGTGCGTGGTACACGGCACACACACACACACGGTACCACGCGTCTGTGTGTTTATATACACGGTACACAGTTAGGCGGTATACACACACAGTACACGCGTGTGCGTCTGCGTGTTTACATACACGGTACACACAAGAGCGGTATACACACGCACCCTCTCTCACGGTGTACGCGTGCACAAAGGCAACGTGGATCGGCGATTCCACGCTAATGGGATTACGAGACCAACTGCGGGCGCATCGTCAGGCAGGGGCGATCATTCTTTCCCCAACGCGTAAAGAACCTTCGGACACGATGCTCGCGTCGCCGTTGACGATTATACCCACGCGCTGCAATCGCTGGTTCGTTTCCATCACCGCAGTAGCGCGCGACCGCGCGCACGCACGACCATTCATACGCGCGACAACACAGGTTGAGCACAGGCGATACGCAAACGATCGCAGGATCAACGCAGCTCACGACACGCACGCGTGTGCCGCGCGTGTGGCACGCACAAACAAAAACAAAGATCCCCCCGCGGAGCTTTAACAGACTGTAGGGGCAAGTGCTGTTAGCGAGCACCTATGAAGGCCTGGAACGGCACACGAGGGGGTGGGTGGCCAGCACCACGCCCGGCCGCCTTTGTCTCCCCAGTGGCGAGGTTTGCGACACACCGCACCAGGTACTCATTTGAGACTGAGTCGGCCTAGGGGAGGCCCAGGACCGGTACAAATAATCGTCACTGATGCTGGCCCGGAGCGGGAATCGAACTCGGGTGGCCCCGGCTTCGTAGCGCGCTACACTACCGCTCCCCCTACACACACACACACACAAGCACGATACACATTCGCGTGCACACACACACACAGCACACTTTGCGTACACGTTGTACAGTACCGATATCACATCATTGCATTTTATTCGGATAAAAAAATTCACCGACCTCCCATCCTCCGCTTCAAGGCCCAAGTGTCATGTCCCCCCCCGCCCACCCCACCTCCCGCCCCCCACTTACTAATCCTGCTGCCGGCACTTTAGTGGAATTGGAATCTCGACCGCTACAAAAATATACATCTCTAAAAACAGTGGAAAATATCTTCCCCACCCCCCCCCAGCGACGGGAAAGCACAGCCCTTTTTGTTTCAAATCATCGCGCCCCGTTTCACTCATCTTTTAGTTTGTTTGTTTGTCTGTTGTTTGTCCTTGGCCTGTGAGGCTGGCCACCCGTTTCTCCGCCGTCGTAACCGCCGCCCCCTCCACTCCGCCGCCACAATAATTTCTCACGGAGCGATATAAAATCTCCCGATAGGGCGATTCCCCCCGCGTTACACCGTAACCGTGCACAGTAAATTTGCATCTCGCGTACCTATCGCTATTGCTTTACGCGCCCCGTTAATTCTGCTGAAAAGGAAGGTTCGCTTATTTTAAATGTTCTCAGCCAACAGTTCGCTCAACGCGAGCCAGCCGAACGAGCCTTCTAATCATTTGGCAAGTTACAAATCTGTGAAGCTTGTCACGTACGGGGTGAGCCTGTCAGTGTACGCCAAACATAATTTGAATTCGCGATTGCAATTGCTCCCAAAGCACGACGAATTTTAACGGATAAAAGCTATTTAATGAGTAAGAACTTCGGTGCTTTGTGCTTGTAATTTCATAGATATTTTATCGGGACGTAAAAGATCTGGGATCAATAAAATGAGCTACGGCAATCGCAACATGACGACGATGGCCTTGCGACGTAACCGCGTGTGGGGGGGGTCACCGTGCCACGGGCAACTTGACCGCCCACCCAGAACCCTCGGCGGTCGAGCGGACCAAGGGGATTCTATTTATTTTACTTCTTTAAAAGACGAACAACGAACGACGGTGGCGGAGGTGACGGAGAACGTTCCGGCAGGCCGACAGCGCCGGCGCGCAAGCGGCCCCCCCCACCGAGCCGTTAACGACAGACGATTATAAAAAAAAAAAATTTCACCATCATTTGTTTGTTATCCGAAAAACGTCTTCACGGAAACGGCAGGCGACGATTTTGCCGATACCGGGGAGACAACCAGCTGGGAGCGCGTGCGTCAGTAGCAGTGCTGCACATTACTTAAGAGAGAGTCACCTAACGAGGAGACTCGATTGGGAAATAATAATAATCATGATATTAAGACTCAATGTAATAAAGAGATGAAGTAGCCACAGTGGCTGTGCTTTTGTGTAGAAGTCGTCGGCTTGTCTCGTACTAACGATGATAATGATGACAATCAGGACAACTGTTGATGAAGATGGTGACGATTATGACGTGAGAATGAAGATGGGCAATGAATACGACAAGAATGATGGCAAAGAAGATGATCGCAACGGAGATGGTGACGACACTGATGATCATGATGATGATGTCGACGAAGATTATCATTATTCTGACGATGATGCCGATGGCGGCAATGGATGTGACGATGGGCATCAACGTCAACAAGACGTTGATAATCAATACGTGATAACTCTGACAGACAATAAAAACGACTAAAACAATGACGTTCAAAAACGATAATGATTACGATGACGACGACGACAATTAACGACAAACATGATCGATACGACAAGAATCAAAATGACGATTACGACGAGAGGAAATTTACGGAAAGTGAAAATTTAAAAACGACGGTGACGACGCTGAACGATGGCGGACGACGACGAGATTACGACCACCACCACCGTAAAGAAGATCTCTCAACGGGACAACGACGTCGCCGCCTCCTCCTCCGCGCACGCCCGGTCGCAGTGACCTCACAGCACCTCCCGCCATCGCAGCCTTCGAAGGTCAAAGTTCAAATCACGCGCGTTCCCACGCCCCCGCCACCACGCGCTCCCGCCGTCACAGAGTGATAACGGTGCCATCCTCCTCCATGCTGCCCCGCTGCAGCGCACCGCCGTTCCCGTGCCCTCTCGCCACAACCGCCGGCGCTTTGCCACCGCCGCCGCCCCCGCCCCGCGACCCCCCGGCCCTCTCCGCCTGCGCCCCTCCGTTGAGCTCCGCGTCCGACTGGAAGCGCCGCGACAGCTCCCCGTTGGGCGACAGCGGCAGGGGCTCCAGGGAGAACGGCGCCGACGACGACAACGCCGCCGCCGAATCTATCACCAGGTCTTCGTCGCTCTCCTCGCCGCTGTCCTCGTCCGTGTAGTTGGTGATGACGTAGGGCGGGCGCTCGACGGCCGGCGCGCCGTTGCTCCGCGCGGCCGCCGCCACCGCCCCCCCGCCGCCCCCCCTGGCGCCGCCGCCACCGCCGCCGGAAGACGAAGAGGACGACGTCGCGGACGGCGCCGTGCCCGTCCCGCCGGACAGCGTCCCGCCGGCAGCGGCGGGACGCTGGTTTGCGGGCCGCACGGTGATGACGAGGTTGCGGCTGTTGGCCACCATCATGTCGGTGACCTGGTCGAGCGTCTTGCCGGCGACGTCGATGCCGTTCACCTCCAGCACTTCGTCGTTGACGGCGAGGAGGCCGGTGCTCTCGGCCAGGCCTCCCGGCACGAGGCGGGAGATGAAGACGGCCGGCGTCTTCTCGATGCCACGCGCCATCACGCGCAGGCTCGTGCCGTCGCGGATGAAGAAGCCGAGAGGCCGCTCCGAGCCCTGGTGGGGGATTGCGGGTGAGAGGCGGGGGGGGCAATAGGGCAAAGGGGATAGGAGGGGGAGATGATTATGTTGTTGTTGTTGTTGATGTGGGGAGATGGATATTGTTTGAGGAGAGATGGGAGAGACCCGTGGGAGACTCGATGAGATGAGGAGATGTAAAGGAGATGGAAAGATAGGGGAGACACGGGGAGACGTGGGAGCATGGCGAGCGATGTGCAGAGATAGGGGACGAAAATGGGCAGATGAAGGGAGACACAAAATGAGTGGTAGTACGGTGTGAGATGTAATTATGGAATAAAATGTATGAAGACATGGGCGAATGGAGGGGGGTAGACACGGTGGAGACGGGGTGAGACAATGACAATGGGGAGATACAGGGCGATGGGTGAGATAGAGGTGACAGGCAAATATTAAAATGCGATGTGGGGAGATGGGGCGAGAGATGAGGACACAGACGGGAGACAGGGGGGGGGGGGGGAGACTCTCCCAAGAGCCCTCGGCAATATCTCCGCTGACCCGTCCAGTCGTTGCCCCATCGCTGCCCCGTAGCTGCCCCGTAGCTGCCCCGTCATTGCCCCGTCATTGCCCCGTTCCTGCACCCGTACCCACCCCCGTACCTGCCCAGTCCCTGCCCCCGTACCTGCTTGTAGAGCTTCACTCGGCGCACGTTCTCGGGCAGGATGTCGGCGTCGATGATGGAGGACACAGGACGGAAGTCCTGTGGCAGGCCGATGTCTCGGTGGGGCCGCGGTTTGTCTCGGGGGTGGAGGAGGCCCGGGAGGCCCGGGAGGCCGACCTTCTTCTTGCGCAAGAGGCTGTTGGTTCCAAACGCGTTGTAGTCGGCATCCTCTGCTGGACGGAAATGCAACAAGAATAGACACGTATAAAATCTGTCAAGTCGTCCGTGGATCCGAACGGTTTTGTGGTGTTCGCACTGCCCTAGCGGCGCGACGCTATCGGAGAAGGCGGCGACGCTGCGTTTCAGAACCAGGCGTGGTCCCTGCGGAGAGAGGCGGGGGGGGCGACGCTGCGATGTGTATTTACCCAATTAGGACGTTTAAAAGTACAATTTCAAACTTGGCGACGTGACACGCTCTTTTTATTGTAAATACCGCCCCACGGGACCTCCAAACAACGCGTCGTCCTTTTGGGGGTTAATACGGAGCCCCCCCAGCAAGTATTAACCAGGGCGGCCGCCGCTTCTGAACCGCGTGAGCCTCCACAAAAACGCGCGGCAAACGGCGCCGCTGCCCACCCGGCCACGTCGCCCGCCGGTCAATCTTCAGGGTCAACCTTCAGGGTCAACCTTCAGGGTCAACCTTCAGGGTCAACCTTCAAGGTCAACCTTCAGGGTCAAGCTTCAGCGTAAATAAAAGGTAACGAGTGTGGAAGAAGATTTGTGCGCACGCAGGCGTCCGTCCGGGGGAGGCAGCGTGCGATTGTCAAGGCAAAATTCATATTTACAGATACGTAGTCCTCATCGCCCTGGGTAAGGCTTTGATCTAATGGCCAGTTTTCAAGCCCCAGAAGCTTCTACGCACACCTATGAGTCTGTGTATACCTATGGGTCTCATTGGCAGACTATGGGTCTCCATGTAACCCTATCACGCGAGCATAAACCATCACGCAAACGCCGGTCATCCTGACAGCAGCTGCAGCGGCGGCGGCTTTAGGCTCGCCATCGAACAAAGATGCGTCACCGCATCGTGCGGCGCTTTCAGACGCGCTTCTGCGGCCGTCTGGAACGCTCTTCCTTTCCACTGGGAGATACGCACTTTTAAATCTCGACTGAAAACTCATTCTTTAATCACTGCGCTTTGTGTTTCGTTTGTTGTCCCCCCCCCCCCCCACCAACTTCCGATCAACGCGGTCGGCCACGTAACAACATACGTGTGCGTACGTTACGCAAACGCACGATGGTTTTGTGGCATCTCACCCCCTCCCCCCCCAATCTCGCCGCCGTGCAGCAGGCGTTCTCCTGCCGCACGGCAAGCGTCCGTCTTCCTTAGAGCAAGAGCGTGGCTGGCCCGCGCCCGTGCGCTCGGGCGTGGCGTCATTAAACCGCACGTCACCATCGGGCCCAGCGGTTGTTCATAAATCCTCATTTTGCCCGCTCGCAAAATACGCGCCTGGGCTCACGGCCCCCCCCCCCCCCCCGCGCCCCCCGTCACGTCGAGTCGGCTACCGTGGCGGTTGGTGCGGGGGTTTGCCTGCAACGCGGGGATTGGTGGATCGCGAAAAGATCGTACACAGTGTTTTTACTTGCTCGTCAAATTTTTTTTTAAAGTCCCTTTTACCAGGCTCAACAAAGAATCAAAAGTGATTTCCTGATCACATGCGGCATCGACGTATCGGTGATCGTCTCCCGTTTGTAGCGCTGTTGCGGAAATTAGCACATTGCTTCGGTGGGGGCGGGTCTATTCCATCGGGCAAACAGCTGTTGACATCCCCATGGAGCGGTAGTCATTTTATCTGCACTGGAGGGATGATGGGCCGAGTCAAACCACCAACCACGATTTGAACTTGCGACCTTTTGATTGCGGGCCGCTCGCTGCGCTGCCGAGTATCCCGGCCGGTTAAACGACAAACGACGGAAATGAGACGGCAGAAATCGGACCGAAAATTGCGAAGGAGGCTTAATCAATTTGTAATTTCTGTGATTACAATAAACCCCCCTCACCCCCCCCCCCCCCTCTGATCTTTGCACCCTGATAGGCTCACATCTTGCTCTGTTAAGAGCGGAAGCAGGAAGACTTCCTCACAATTCTGGAGAAAAAAAACTGCCCGATGAAACCGGTTGTAAATCGCCAGCGAAACATGACAGTCCTCGATTGCAGATGTCGTGGGCTTACTCGCCGTCACGCCGATGCGCTGAATTAAGGGCTAATCAGCACGTTTTGGTCACGTGACAAACCTTGCTAGTTGGCTGCGTCGTGTTAACGGCACATTGACAATTACGCGATACAACCCCAAAAAACCCTCATTCGGTAGACGATTGCCGTAGACCGGCCGATCACAACGCATCTGCCTGCTGCGTGCTTTTCAGTCCCGCTGGGCCGCTCCGAATCAGTGGCGAAAATTCCACGCTCCTATGGAAAGGGTCAGTTTCACAACATAGCAAAACCGGTACACTAATTTTATCCACCCTGGAAGAAGGATGATGATTGATGATAAACGGTTGAGTTGAGGGTAAAGTGGGCTCAACATCCCCCCTCCGCTAACTGCCAAGCCGTCTGACCGTGGAGAAATCTGCGCAGGTTTTCGCGCCGCCAAAAAAACAAGTTATTAATAACGATGATGAATTTTAGAACAAACGCCTTGTAATGTTATAAAAATAATAATAAAATAACTCTGCCAGCTGCCGCACGCAATGAAATTAACAATTCGTCACCGACTGCACAGTCGTGTTTTTGTTTTTGGTGCGCGACAGCCGGAAGACCTCGTGGCAATTGGGCGAGCGGTTTGGGTGTGTGTGTGTACGCGACGCTCACAACAACGAGCGGAGCGCCGGGTGGCTAAAGCACAGCAAGTTGGTACAGTAGGGGGCACAGGTGGTGCATCAGCCAGTCATCTCGGTCATCTCGGTCAGTCGACCCGTGGCACCTGCTGGGTCTGCCCCGTGACCTCCTGCCAGCGGGCGTTCGACACTTCACGTGGCAGCCTCAAGGTGCACTTGGCCTGGCACAAGCGTCGTGGTGACGTCACCGCCACTTAGTGGCGAATGGCGGTTGTTGTTGTTGTATCTCTATGTGTATGTGGGAATGCGTGCGTGTGTGTGTGCACGCAGCGCGCTGCGCTACAAAACCCGGCGACCTGAGTTCGAATCCCGCTCACGGCCAACACCGCTGACGATTATCTGAACCGGTCCTGGGCCTCCCCTAAGTCGACTCAGCCTCAAATGAGTACCTGGTGCGGTGTGTAAAAACATCGCCACTGGGGAGAAAAAGGCAGCTGGGCGTAGTGCCGAGCACCCACCCCCTAGTGTACCTTGCATGTGCATTTGGGGAGTGGTAGTACAGCGATTCACACACCGCGCTGTAAGCCCCACGAGCCGAGTTCGATTCCTGCTCACGACCAATAACAGTCGCTCATATTTGAATCCAAGGCTGGGGGGGGGGGGGTGCAGTGGGGGGGGGGGGGGGGCAGTGAATAGGAGACAATCACCACTCCTCCGGGACCCCGTGGGGGTTGATATTTATATTTACCAGAGAAAATTACATTGAATAATATATATATATTTTAACACCAGAGGTCGCAACCGGGTACCCGATACCCGTACCCTACCCGATACCCGGCTACCCATACCGGGCCAGGTACGGGTACCCGTTTGCGACCCTGGTGCGGCCGGGTACGGGTACGGGTAGGCCGTGAGTCACTGGTGAGTAACCGTTTGTCACTCATTTCGGGTAGAGTACGGGCACGGGAAGGGAACGGGAACCCGTACCCAATTTTAAATTTTGATTTAAAGCTTTCGTGACTGCAGGGATTCATCTTCTTGGTTCTTTCGGTAAAGTCCCTTCTACGTAACTTTACCGAAAGAAGAAGATGAACCCGTACCCAGCCGGGTACGGGTACCCGTTTGCGACCCTGGTGCGGCCGGGTACGGGTACGGGTAAGGAATCAAAACCCGTTTGCGACCTCTGGTAAACACCATCAGCACTTGGTGAGAGACAAAGGCAGGCAGGCTGGCGTGGTGCCGGCCACACCATCCCCTCGAGTGCCGTCCGGGACCTTCATCGGTTCTCGCCAACAGCCCTTGCCCCAGCAGTCCGTTGGGGAGGCTGCACACAGGGGAACTTTGTTTGTGCTTTGCGATGACGCGGCGATTGCGCAACGCGGCTTTGTGCGTCACCAAGCCGCGCTTCCTTCACACCTGACGGGTGGCTCCTCGCTGAACACGGACAGAACGCGAGAGAGGCCAAACGGCCAACGCGGGAGGGGAAAGAACAACAAATAAATATGAACGGAGCACGCACGGAGAGAGAGGAGGGTGGGGGGGAGAGCAAACGGAATGGGGCGAGGTGGGTCTTTAGGATGACGAGGGCAGCAGCGCGAAGGAATGCAGAGGTGGGGGGGTGGGGAGGTGGGGGGGTGGGGAGGTGAGGAGGTGGGGAGGTGGGGGGGTGCAGAGGAGGGGAAGAGGGGAGGTGGGGAGGTGGGGGGGTGGGGAGGTGGGGAGATGGGGAGGTGAGGAGGTGGGGAGGTGGAGGGGTGAGGGGGTGCGGAGGTGGGGGGGTGGGGGGTGGGGAGGTGCGGAGGTGTGGAGGAGGGGAGGTGGGGAGGTGGGGGGGTGCGGAGGTGCAGAGGTGAAGAGGTGGGGGGTGGGGAGGTGGGGGGGTGGGGGGTGGGGAGGTGGGGAGGTGGGGGGGTGCGGAGGTGTAGAGGTGAGGGGGTGGGGAGGAGGGGGGGTGGGGAGGAGGGGAGGTGGGGAGGTGGGGGGTGCGGAGGTGCAGAGGTGGGGAGGTGGGAGGGTGGGGAGGTGGGGAGGTGGGGAGGTGGGGGGGGTGGGGAGGTGGGGAGGTGGGGAAGAGGGGGGTGGGGGGGTGCAGAGGTGGGGAGGTGGGGAGGTGTGGAGGTGGGGGGGTGCGGAGGTGCAGAAGTGGGGAGGTGTGGAGGTGGGGAGGAGGGGGGGTGGGGAGGTGTGGAGGTGCGGAGGTGGGGAGGTGTGGAGGCTACAAGCCGAGCGTTAACGATATGCGTGCAGGGGTGCGAATTAAAAAGTCTGTGGCTTGACACACAGAAAACGAGCGAGCAATGAGACATTTAAAGAGTATACCTATATATCTATATATATAATCTACGCAAGCTCTTCCCCCAATTTATTCTGCAATTGTGCTGTCGGCAATTGT